TCACGCAATAACGTTAATCGAATTGTGCTGTAACATGTAAAACGGCATCATGAAAGGAACATTCAAAATGAAACTCATGTAAACACTTTAATTATAATATTGTCTTATTCAGATTAAGGCAAACAATTTGATTACTCATGTCTATGTAAACGTAGTAACTGTCTATCTTCCCTGCGTCTGTGTTTGTGTTGCTGCTGGGAAAATCAGCGTGTATGCATTGAAACTTTTTCATACAAACCCTTCCCTCTTTCGCCACTTAACACTCCCACCTAAACAAAGCTGGACTCACCTACTTTCCTGACTTTTTTCAAACTTGAGGTGTGAAAACACCTTTCTGAGATGGGGTGTTATATGGCCCTTTAAAACATGCAATTGCAGCAGCTTACCACACTATGTAAAGTTTTTTTTTTTTTTGGTCATCCGTTTCTGTTTTGATTTTGTCATTTCTCTTGTGAATCAGAGGTGATTCCAGCTCTTTACCTTACAGAATGGTTTTTGTGTTTGAAAATAATCGCTATTGAGCAACTCGCCTCCTCTCACACCCTGTCATCATCTTTTTTGTACTTGCTGCTTTTCTTTAAGCCTTTATTTTTTTTTAACCGCAGTAATTGCTCAGACCGTATCCATAGAAACCTCAGTACATGTATGGATTGGGAGAGCGAAGACCAGCAGCCGGCACATTATCAGGGCATCATCATGCAGCCTATTTACACATGTTCCCTGCAGGGCTAGTGCTCTCACGCGCACATACAGATTTCACAGCGCTGCTTCTGGATCCAATCCCGATTGCACACACACAAAATCAGCAGCTAAAACACGAGCAATCCCTGTTGCCAGATTGCTGATATCTTCCCTCAGTCTGAGCCGCTCTGTTTTGGAGAGAAAAGCTCCTCGTCGGAGAGCCTCCTGCTTTAATAATAAATGATGCTTCACTCTGACACTACTTGAGGTTTGTTCTCACATTAATTATTTGGCTAGCAGAGAATGTGGGACCCTTCTTGGCCTATCAATCTATATTTGTCGTCCTTCTGACATCCATTTTGAATAACCTCAGCAATGTAAATAAAAAACGAAAATGCGTAAAGATTGAGGCTTTCATGCAGGCGAGCGAGTGTGGATTTGCAGAATCTACTGAATTAGTAATCCATATTGAACTGCACTCCAAAATGGAGCAATATTCTTTGCTGTTTAGCACTCATAGACTGGGATGTGCATTTTTCTCTAGGTTTCTCACCAAGGTTAAGCCACAGTGCCATAGAGAGCTAGCTCATGCTCTGCACAGCTGCTGTCTTGGGGATTTTCGTCATGGTCTGAATGCGGTACGCCTCGCGTCTGATCCCTAAGGATTTCAGACCAGCATTTGAGGCACGAGTGCAAAGCAGAAATACATCAATGGTTTTCATTGAGGATGACTGGAAACGATCTTAGATCAGGTTTTTTTTTACTTTCTAAATGTTGATTATTAGTTCCTGAGAGATGACCTTTGTAAAAACATTAACATGGCTACACTGCTTATTTACTCCCAAGACCCCAAATAATAATTTTAATACATGTACAGTACTTTGCTGATTAAAAAAAATTTTTAGTACATGATATACAGATAAAATATAAATTTATTATTATTTTTTTTCCCAAAAAAATATATATTCTAAAATGTATTTTTAGTCAAACAAAGATCTTTTTTTCCTCTCTCTTCTACTGCATTCAGAATTTAAGTCTTAAGTAATATTAAGTGTCATTAATTACTGACTGGATCTAGTGATTCTATTGAATATTTCTGCATTGCATTTTATTATGGAGATTGTTGCTGATTGAGATTACCATTCCCCACCTCTTTTGAAGTACAGTTGAATTTTTACCATTCGGCTGTACATACAAATTCTAAAAAAGAATGAAAAATCAAGCCCAAAGCCATAATCACATGACCAGGGCCACCCCAGGCACCAGGGGATCAGAGACCATTGGTTTTTCCAAAGGTGGGTGGCCTCTTTCCTCCTATGTACACACCAGACTGTCAGCCTACTGTTCAGTGGATCACCACTCCTGATCCGCAAACTTAAGTGGAGCTCTAGGAATGCAGCATTTCTTTTGCCAGCCCATTTGTTCAAAAGCATTTTGGCAACCTTCTGTGATTTCACTGACGCTCGACCTTTGAATACTTTTGCCACAGGCAAAAAAAATGGCCCCTGCTAGGGCTATCTTATTCCTCTTTGCCAAGCAGATTTTGCCTGACCATTGGGCCTGTCACCAGGTCCTCATGCTGGTTCTCCCCTGGGGTGAAACAAGCCTAAGGCTCCATCCTAGAAGGTATAAACTGTTTCCTGCTGAGTCCTTTTCTCCAGTACACTGATTTACAAAATAAGATCAAGGTTGAACTGCACTCTGCTTTTAGGCTGATTCCTTTGTTGTGTCCTGTTTAATGATATTGATAGATGGAGTTTGTGGGAAACATGATTTGGAATTTGTGTTGTACAGGTTTACTTGGTACCAATTTGTAGATGTACCAGCCTGTTGCAAAGCCTTAGATGTGGTTGTGAATGAAAATCCCTCAAGTGTAGATCAGCAGTTTCTAAAATACTATGATCAGCCATATTAGTTCTGAACTATATATAGTTTGAGTATCGATATTGCAGTGTTTGTATCTGCAATAGTCACATCACATCATCAAGATTAGATTATTTATTAAGGATTAAAAGAATTGATTTGTTTTTTGTTTTTTGTTTTCCTCTGGGTTTTCACCTTTAATGGATCGGACAGTAGAGAGTATTGACTTTAAAGTTTGGGGAGCAGAGATAGGGGGAACAATTGGCATAGGACCTTGAGACAGGAAACGAACTCGGGTCGCCGTGAGCACTGGAGTGTATATGTTGATGCACTACGTCATTGGTAAAAAGAAAACTTTTTTAGTATTTATTAAATGATTTATACAGTGACTACCTTTTTTTACTCTTGATTGTACAATTTCTGTTCTTGAATACTGTTTGACCTTAAAGCACTGTTTATGTATTTGTTTATTTATTTATTTATTTATTTATTTATTGCTTTTAATTTATTATAATATATGCAGATGCACTTCATAGAAAAACTTTCCCAGTCGATCAACATGAAAATAGAGTTCTTTAAATCATGTGCTGAAATTGTTTTCATATTGCAATGTATGTTGTGGCAAACGAAATATCGCAACGTCAGATTTTTCTAATATCGTGCAGCCCTGAGCCATACACTCACCTAATGCCTTATTTACATTAGATAGATATCTGATTAGTGAAAATGGTTCCATTTACATTTGACCACAAAATATGTGTCTTTGCTAATCAGACAAGATTCTGATCTACAACTCCCAACCTATATGAAAATTTAATTAGGTTATGTTAATTACTATTTTTTGTTTTTACTAAAACTGTAAATAGGGCTGCATGGTTAATCAAAAAAAGATTGTGATTTTGACTTGAGCCCCCACCCCCCCACACACACACACATACACACACCATCTTAATTCAGCATTAATCCTACGATTCATCCAATTATATTTTCAAGTTAAGGAGAGACGCATTTAGGCGGTTTTACAAGTCTTTACATTGTTATATATGCTGCTCAGCAAATGGTCTTGAAAGAGTCTGCATATTATATTTATAAGTTATAATTCACCCAAATTTAATTTCTTTTTTCATGTAATGATGTATTCGTGGGCGATGCAGTGGTGCAGTAGGTAGTGGTGTCTCCTCACAGCAAGAAGTTCGCTGATTCGACCATCGGCTAGGTCAGCTGGCGTTTCTGTGTGGAGTTTGCATGTCCTCCCTGCGTTTGTGTGGGTTTCCTTCTGGTGCTACGGTTTTCCACACAGTCCAAAGACATGTGGTACAGGTGAATTGGGTAGGCGAAATTGTCCGTTGTGTATGAGTGTGTGTAGATGTTTCCCAGGGATGGGTTGCGGCTGGAAGGGCATTCACTGCGTATAAAAATGTGCTGGATAAGTTGTCGGTTCATTCCGCTGTGGCGACCCCGGATTAATAAAGGGACTAAGCCAAAAAGAAAATAAATGAATGAATGATGTATTCGCAGCGGCGGAATCACACATGAGCTGATTGTGAGCTACTGTATGACAGAATTATGAATAGGTTTATTCTGATGTCATCAATTTACTGTGCATTAACGACCAGGACAAATTTAAAGTCTATTCAAATCCATTGTTCCAAGTCTATACTAAATTTAGCATTTTAACCAACGGTAGAACTACACATAAGCCTAATATTATTATTGTTGTTTTACCATTTGTTTGTCAATAATAACAGCCTAATATTAACCTAAATTTTACATCCACAGATTCGTGAGAAAATCGTGATCTTTATTTTAAGCAAAGAAATAATTTTGATTCTCATTTTTGCCAGAATCGTGCAGCTGTAAGCTATTTATCTTATTTGGCATACAAATGATTTTATATGTAGGCTACAGCGGGCTTTGTAAAGGATCATTACAGGGCGGGTTGATTGACATGTCAGAGGCTCTCCTTTCTTACACTTTGGCATACATCAGAGTAGATTAGCGTTGCAATCAAATCTGATATGTTCAAATTGACACAATCTTGATACCAAATGGTTTAGAGGGCTGAGACTCTATTTTACCTTTGCTATACCATTCATTTCCACTTAGATGATTGGATTGCATCATATCTTATTGTAAATCTTCTATATTCTCAAGTCTCCCATCATGCTGCATTCTTGTCTTCGCTCTTTTCCTAAACCCGCAGCTGTGTGAGCAGACCGAAGGAGGGGAGCTGCAGCAGACATACTTGGCAGCTCAAAGAAAGCTCAGAGGAGTCTGATCTTGTACACAGGTCTAGATTTCACACAGTGTACTGCAGATTCAGCGGCGGGGAGTTTCCGCATGTCATGGATGAAGTCGCTCTTTCTCATACTGACAGATTAAAAGCTGCAGATTCGCGTCCAGCACACAACACTTTTCATGTCAGCATTTTGATTATGTCTTCTCTGTACCCGCAGCGTTTCATCCAGTATCTGGCCTCAAGAAACACACTCTTCAATCTGAACAATTTTCTTGATAAAGGTGCATTGCAAGGTATGCAAGAAACGTAAACATCTCTCCTGCATGTAGAGCATTGTATGCATACACACGCTGATGAAAAACCCTGTGCTTTTTTCCTTCAGGCTATGACATGTCCACGTTCATCAGGCGGTACAGTAGATATCTCAACGAGAAAGCTCTTTCTTATAGGCTGGTAGCTGTGGACTTCACCAAGATGAAGAGAGGGTGGGTAAAACTTTGTCATATTGTCTGCCTCCAGTCAAGATTGTGTTCAAACACATTGTCTCAGCAGGGCACAATCTAATCAGGCTAGCTCATTACTCCGATAATTAAGTTGTTTTTAAAAGCTGATTAAGTAGCTGATTTTTTTTTTAAAGCACTAATTAAGATTTCGAGTAAGTGGCGAGTTGTGATTGTTTGTTTATCTGTTTGTGGTGCAGTATTGATGGAGTCATGCGCACCATGAACACAGAGAAGCTGATCAAAACGTTGCCTATCATTCAGAACCAGCTGGACGCGCTGCTGGATTTCCAGGTTTGTGGTAGAAAGCATGCATGTTTGTTTTAAATTATTCCTGTGTGATGATCAGTGATTTTATTTTTTAGTTTTGGCCTCTGTTGTATGCCAGTTCCCAAAATTGCTTTATGCATGATTCCAGACATATTTAACAACTAAAAAGCAGGCAAATCACTATTTGTCAAAAGTTTGGGGTCCATTACTTTTTTTAATTGTGAAAGCTCTGTATAAATCAAAAATACAGTAAAAACTTTAATATTGTGGAATAATACTATAGTCAGTATATAATACAGAAGTATCTTAATACTATAATAATAATAATAGTTTTGTAACTCAGTTGTAAGTTGCTTTGGACAAAAGTGTCTGCTAAATCAGTGGTCCTCAACCAATTAGTGCCAATTGGTACCGGGCCGCACAACAAATAATTAATTATTTCCATTTTATTTATTATTAGTCTGAACGATCTTTTATTTTGATAAATAACTGTATTTTCTCACTTACATCTCGGTCACTTGAGCGCCCAAACCTACAAGCAGCTAAATGAGCAAAAAAGTCTTTGGAAAGTTTCTTTCCCGAGAACTGCCAAGGAATGGATCTGCAACCCATTTGTCAACAAATCAGGTAAATCCAGCATGTCTTTGCAAGAAGATCAACAGCTGGAGATCGCAAATGATGGCTGCCTTTTAGGGGCCATTCCTATATCGTGTCTTTTCTAGCGTTCGCACAAGTTCGTAATTTCCAAAGGAGGTGCGCACTAAGTTGAATGAATCCGGCGAGCGCACCGCAAGTCAGGTGACAACAACTGACCGATCAGCTTCAGCTTGTATGGAATATACACATTTTGGTCAACTGATTATCTCAAGCAAACACAGAACACCCAAACACTAGAGTGCTTTGTAATTTTCTCCATAAATAAAACTTGTATCAGAGTGACCGCAACTAGTCATCCTCTGAGAACCCCCCCACCTTTTGTTAAAGTTATCAAGCGTTGACTGGTCAGCGTTGATAAAAAGGTTTTGGACCACTGTGCTAACTGACTAAATGTACAATGTAAATGTAGTTTTCAGCAATCAATACTTTAGTCTTAGGGTGCTTTCACACTTTTTCGTCCCTCAAGAAACATTTTCTGTTTTCATTGCTCCGAAACCAATGCTCATAACAATTTTAAGTCATTGCAATAGATGTCCAAATAGCCAGTCAGAAAAAAGAGGCCTAGCATTTTTTTTAAATAAACAAAGGATGACTTTTTTAGCTATTTTCATGCCATGTTAGACAGGTAAATTGCTATCATTGGGTCAGGGAGTAAAAACTGTTTTAAACTTCAGCAAAGAATTTAAATATTTATCACCAAAAGCTCTTAATTTTTCCACAAAACCAGAAAGTATGTGTTATACAGCTCTTATACAGCTCATATATATAATCAGGGTTTGGTAAGTTACTTTTAAAAAGTAATAAATTACAAATGACTGATTACTACTGGAAAATTGTAATCTAGTTACATTACTAATTACTTCATTAAAAATGTAATCAGACTACTAATTACTTTGAAGGTACTTTAAATATATATATATATATATATATATATATATATATATATATATATATATATATATATATATATATATATATATACCTACAGTATAAAAATACAAAATATACTGCAACTTTTTAAGCAATTTAATATACACTAAAAAAAAACATTACAATGGGTTAATCACAGCAGCTTGATATATTCACAAGACTTAAACAGTTCTCCCAAAACTTAAAATTCTCTCATCATTCACTTGTTCCAACCCATTTTTTTTAACACATAAGAAAAAACTGGATACCTGTAACCAATGACATCCATAGTACGACAAGGCACTGCAGTGTTTGTGTTCTGTGTTTGTCTGAGGTAATTAGTCTAAATAAATGTGTATATTCACATGACTCATGGGTGAGCCTCGGAAATGCAATCGTGCAATATGCACTCCCAATATGAGCGCATGCAAAAGACGCAATATGTGAAAGGTCCAATAAGCAGCTTCGCTTTTCACATCCAGAAGATACCTTCACTTCCGATCCTGCACAAAATAATTTAATTTAGCCTAATTTATCCTCGACAGCAACCATTTCAGCTCGCGTTCTTCAGCAATTTTAAGGCTTATTAACTGACGTTGTGGCAAAAAACTTGATTTAAAAGAAGCGTTTTTCTAAAACCTTTATTTGTGTAACATAAGTAACACAATCACATTTACTTTAGTAACTAATCAAATTACACCAATTTAAAATTTAATTCGTTACATTACAGTGTCCCCAATGATGTAATTAGAATACAGTAACGTGTTCCACTCGACTCCGCATATGATGGAGTATAGCAATTTATTTGAAATATTATGGACCTCAGTATTTTTGATGCCACTGTTTGAATATATAGGCAAACATTTAAAACCTGCACCACTGAAAAGCAAAAACATGCACAGTGTAAACAGCCCGTGTTTTTAAATGGCAGTAATTTTTCACTTAACTCTAAAAGATGATTCAGTGTTTCGAGCACAGCTTATTTTATTGCTCCAGTGATTGAAATGATAATTAGTTCCTCTAAAAATCAAGTAGGCTCGACGACCCTAAGCCCTAGGTTGGAAGCCCTACTTTAACAGAACAACACTGATGTTGATTCAGTTCTAGCTATTTGGTATGATGTGTCCTCTCTCGTGTGGGTGTGTGTCCGTAGGCTAACCCTAATGAGCTGACTAACGGAGTGATCAACGCTGCCTTCATGCTGCTCTTCAAAGACTCCATCCGTCTGTTTGCTGCCTATAATGAGGGTGTTATCAACCTGCTGGGTAAGAGTAATCCACTCCCTCTCACTCTGGAGAGCGTCGTCCTCTCACGCTCTGCTTTAGGGGTTACGTCTTGCTGCTTTCTGAGCAAAGAACAGTACAGCTGAAGCACACAAGCTTGGCTTTTCCTGTCTGTTACATATTCAATTTTTTTTTTACTGAGATCTGAAATCAACAGCAGTGTGCTTGTTGCAGATCACTTCTCTTTACCTTAGGTTAAGCATCTTGTTTTTGATTCTCAAGAGTTTAACTTTGTGTTTATTACTGCTTTGTACCAATGACCCAACATGGTGCTTTTCATTTTTTGAACAACCCTGTTAAACATATTTCAAGTAAAACAGAAGAGCAAATAAATGTTTTGGATAAAAAAATCACTTCTAACTCAGAATTAATATTATTAATAATAATAATAATACATTTTATTTAAAGGCGCCTTTCTAGCAACTCAAGGACACCGTACAATCAACAAGAGCAATAAAACAACAAGAGAAATAATAAAATATACAGAGCAATAGTGCAGATAAAATTAAGTATTAAAAGCCATCTTAAATAAGTGGGTTTTGAGTTTTGATTTGAACAGTGTAAGGGAGTCAATATTTCTGATGGCAGGTGGTAATGAGTTCCATAGTCGCGGAGCAGAGCGGCTAAATGCTCTGTTGCCCATAGTTGAAAGGCGAGAAGAGGGAACAGACAAGTGGAGGGAGGAAGAAGATCGCAGGGTGTGAGAAGGAACAGAAATGTGGAGGAGGGCAGACGAATATGGAGGGGCGAGATTGTGGATGGCTTTGAATGTTAACATTAAGATTTTAAAGTCAATTCGAAAATGAACAGGTAACCAATGAAGCTGCTGCAGGACAGGGGTGATGTGATGAGAAGAAGGGGTTCTGATATTGGAGCCTGTCACTTTCCAAACAGGATAAATCTGCCTCGAAGTGAAAAAAGATCATGATTGAGGCGATCTGCCTCAATCATGATCACCATATTGGCCTGGGGCGATTAATAGTAGCTGATTGGCATGCACGTTTTGCCAGTAAAGCTAGTTAAAGTAAATTTCTAGCACGTGTTTTCAGATGGATCAGCATTTACTATACAGTCGTAGTTTAAGTCATATTGCATTTGTTATAAGTGATGATTTAATCATTCGATAATGAAAGCAAAGATGATCATAATGACTGATGGCTGTGGCTATTACTGCTCTGTGATGCTGCTACATCTGAAATCATGTAAAAATACCAGATTTAAAAGCATGTTTTTACTCAACGTTTTGAGAGCTAAAGTGGCAGTGTGCCATTTTTTTCTATTGTGTTATACTCATCTCATGACTTCAGTTACGGTTTTGAAATAAATACTTCTATGAAACGATTCTGTAGTTGAGGGTTTATTATTCATGTTATATCAATGAAGGAAGGTAAATATTCTGTTTATTTACCAAATGTTGAATCGATGAAAACAGTTAAATATTCATTTTGTTTACCAACCTCTTCAGAGTTTTCTTGAGTTACTCCTTCATGGATATTTAGAGTTTCATGTGAGAGCGCCCTCTGGTCATCAGAGAAGATTCACAACTGATCACAAAACCATTCTGACAAGATGTACATGACGGTTTGAGCTGCACGATTAATCGATCAAAGATTACAATCTCGATTGTACCCCACACACGATCTTGTTTGATTGATAAAGGTCTTTGATTAATCTTAATTCAGTGTTTCCATGATTCAGCAAATTGCAAATGTTGCAAATTGCAATATAAATGCAGTTGCACTAGTCTTCACGTTTTATATTTGTTGCTCAGCAACATGGACACCTCTAAATGGGGTTAAAGTGTCATACTGTATTTATAAGGTATAATTCACCCCAAAATGTAATTTCTGTCTTTGAGTGTTTTTACATCACATCTGTAGTTCGCTTCATTTGGTCCGGACCAAGGGCAATACATGATACATTGTTGCATTTTCTGCAGTCTTTGAGTCGTTTTCACACCACACTGCTAGCTTTGGTCCGAACCAGTTGAAAAGAACCAAAATGCATTTATCTGACAAAATCCACATCTCTCATTGGCCAGATGTTGTTGAACAAAGTTCCTAAACTGCTTATTGATTGGTCCGGATTCACATGCGGGAAAATTCCAATGAACTTTTTAAGGAAATTTTTTTATAGCCAAAATCGTGCAGCCTTAATGACGTTTATAGCTTTTTCTAAACATTGATTTCATTTTAGGCTGAACTGCTCAGAACTGGTCACAAAAAGTGAAAGCTCTGCTTAAGAAAAAATCTATATATTTACTGCCATTTTTCTACTTTCTGTCATAGTTTATTTATTTTTTTAATTACAAGCAAGCTGCACATTTTTACAAATTCCTCTAAACATATTCATATTGATCTAATTGACCCCCTGCCCCATTGCTAGAAGCATAAGAGTTTTGATAAGACTTCTCTATTAGGCATAAGTAAACTTAGACACTTACTGTGAAAATATTGAATAATGTCTGTTGATTTCAAACATAATCGGACAAAAAGATCTTCAATATGCATTTAAATAATATATTCAGAGTGTGAAAGTGACTCAAAGTAAGGATTGATATAGCCTATAGATCACAACGTAAAACTGGACTAGAGCAGCGCCTGGAGAATAAGACCATAGATAACAATAATTTCAGCAGCGATCGTCATGTAGATCTTTCTAGATTAAAAGCAGACATCAAGATTGGCCTGTTCAGTGTGGTCGGCAAACATGCTGTGGCACGTTCGCCTGCATTTGTGGTTAACAGCAGAAATTACTTTCAGTTATGGTCATAAAAGCACTTTAACTGCCAAGCGTTTTCTGTTAGGCTTTGTTGGGTTTAAATCTGGAAAGCATTTTATTTATTCATCTCATTCTTTTGAAGCATTTTTAACACTTAATATAAATACAGTATTTAGTAAAAATACATTGTACAACCTTAATATAATTTATATCTTTGATATACTTTTTCTCACCATGAAAATAGTCACAGAAGCTGACATGGCGCCTAACAAAACAGACGTTTATGGTCATACAAAGAAAAATAGGATCATTTTAAAACTGTAAAGATCTCATTTTATATGGGTAAAAAATGACAATTGATTGAGTTTTATGTTTGAGTTTTATGTGATTTTTAAATCTATTGTATATTGTCTGCATTTTAAGCCCATCGCAAAGCTTTTAATTTTAAGTCAACCAGTGCTAATGTCTGATCGCCTGTCAGTCAAACTCACTGTGAGGGGTTAGATCTAGAATGTGGAGGTCACCAACTAAACCTTAAATTCCCCATTATCCTTTGCTGCTTTTTACTCAATGTGTCCTATAATTATCCAATCATTAATGCAGTCATTTTTCGACAATTTTCATTGTTTTATCATGTTTTTTTATGTTGCAGCATATGCCGTTTAGGTTGATGGTCTGAAAATACATTAGAGTGTTAGCTGTCCTTGAGCAAACCATTACAGCGGCTTTTATATGCCCTGTCTCTGTCAGACAGCCCAGAGTGTTTTGACAATCCTCTGATGGGTAATTGCAGTCTTTATCTGTTAGAGTCGCTCTGCTAATCGTTCTACTCCCTGTTCTCTCTCTCTCTCTCTCTCTCTCTCTCTCTCTCTCGCTCTCTTTTGCTCTCTCTCTCTCTCTCTTTTGCTCTCTCTACAGAGAAATACTTTGATATGAAGAAAAACCAGTGTAAAGACGCTCTGGACATCTATAAGAAGTTTCTGTACAGGATGACCAAGCTATCAGAGTTCCTTAAAGTGGCTGAGGTACCAGTGGCAAACATGCACATAGTCAATGGTATTTTTTTCTACAGGTTTGAGAATGGTCGGACTGTTCATGGAGCTCTTTATTCTCACAATTTCTCTCTTCTCTCTCTGTCTTGTATCTCTCTATCCCACAATTCTCTGACATTCATTTTTATTGGATTGGCGCGTTCCCAGATACAATATATTAAGTTTTCCAGCACTGCATTACACTGTTTTTTGTGGATTGTGTCTATAAACGTTTATAATTGTGCTCTCTGTGTATGAATTAGAGTAAACAAATTTCTAGTTTTATTCTTAAAAAAATGCTCATCAGTCAATCGGTTGATTAAGGATCAAATTGAGTGCATATTTCTGCGAAGTATAATTGTTAAAAATAAAGATTAGACTTTGTTACAGTTAATTTAAGAGTATTAAATCACACTACTTGCACTACCTATTAAAAGTTTAGGCCAGTCAGATATTTTTATGCATTCATTTAATTGATCAAATCAATTATAAATAAATCTCCATTTGTTTTATTTTCCATTTAAAACTCTAACTTGAATAATTCTAGAAAAATAAGTGGTTTAGCTTTGTTTTTCCAGTAAGTCTAACCATACACTCAAAAAATTAGTTTTTTTGTTTGTTCAATCTGCTTGTTTAAAATGGGCTGAAATGACGCAATTCTTACGTTTTTTTTGCACAACTTAATTGTTTTTTGTTTAATCAACTTAAATTTGTAAGTTCACTTAACTAAGTTACCTAAATTCCTTCATGTTATGCCAACACAAATCAGTTGTGTGGAACCCAGCATTTTTAACAGTGTATTTAGGTGCAGAAATTAAATTATTTATTTATTACACTACGTTGTCATAAATAAAATTAATAGTTAATTATAGTGTAATCATTTTTTTTATCTTTGTTAAAGCTGCAAAAGAGATTTTATGGAGACCCGGAAGGGACGTGGTGGTGAGGAAAAAATGGGTGGGAGAAAAAAAAAAAACTAAGTCATAGGAAATTTATTCTTTTATTTTTTGTTTTTTACTTCACAAAACTCCTGTTCCACAAAGACTTGCTTTTTATTCATACATTTCAACCCTCTCGTTTTTTGCCAGGATTCTCCTGTATTTTACCATTCTATCCCACTGTCATCCTTTCATTAAGTATTTTCCCATATTTTTAATCTTGAAACATTGAAATTAATATAAAACTGCACATTAAAAATATGGGGAAATGTGGGAAAATACTTATGGTTAGGATGATATCGGAAGGGTAATGACGGGAGAATGCCGTCAAAAACAGGAGTGTTGACTTGTGTGAAGTAAACAGGAAGTCTTTGTGCAACAACAGTTTTGTGGGGAACGCAAAAACTTAATATATATTTTCCTATCATATATTATTAGTTTTTTTTTTCTTCCACCCATTTTTCCCCCACCATCACATCCCTTCTAGGTCTCCATAGGATTTTGTGTAGACATTATCTACACCTGGACCTTAAACAAAAATTTTATCAAGTAATCCTAAATGACTGGAAAATCCATAGAAGGTTGCTGGTCTGAAGGTTTTTGAACCCTACACAGGGATTGTCGTCCAAAAGCGCTGCTTTATACAGATTTTCAAATTCTCTCCTGTCCATCATACTGTGGCCGTTGAAGGCTGTTCTATCTCATGCGGATTCATACAGTTTGAGACATTTAAAGTTTCAGAGTCCTGTCTCATTCTGGCTTAGATGAAGATCTGTGTTTGGTGCTAATAAGACTCTCACTCCCTACTCTCACCCTGACGCTGATTAATTCCCGTGCTGCTGCCTTATTTTCCCCAATTCTCCTCTCCATCCTTTCAGCCAGGCGTTAGACTGTCTAGTTTTCTTTTTAGAGTGGCTGAGCAGCTGATATGTCAGGGATTTGGTTTAAGAATGAGTCTCTGAGAACAATGTCCATCACCATGTCAGAATCTTGTCTAATTTTTATTTTTTACCTCCATCGGGTCTCATTCAAACGTCACCATTTGTTCTAAATGTTTTTGAGTGTTAACCACACCACAATCAGCTGTGTGAGACATTATCAATGTCTGCGTGCGTCCCCATTGGTCCTCCGTGGCTCTCAGCATGCCACACCTCTCTTGTATTTATTTATTTATTTATTTGTTTAATTTTTAGCCACTGCATGAGGAAATGATCCTTTGTTCTTTTTCTTATTCCTTTTCTCCCTCCCCTCGTTTGTTTACCGTTTTTTATTTTTTGCTTTGTTTTGTTTATGACACAGCAAGTTGGGATTGATCAGGGTGACATCCCAGATCTCACTCAGGTCAGTGTACATTTCATCTCCACTTTGTGTTTTTCCTCTTCTTCTTCTTCCTCCTCACTACACTGCTGCTGTGTCGTCCATCCCCCTTCCTCCTCTTCTCTGCGTGTTCCACCTGTCTTCGTCTCCTCTCTTGTTGTCTGACGTGCTGTTTTTGTACCCATGCTCACTGTTATTTAGACGTTCTCTCTTGTGTCTGGTTTCAAAATTAGATGCCTTGTTAATATCTATGAGACATATTGTAGAATTGAAAGGAGGTTATTAAGCTGAACTGAACTGATGTCTCATGTCGTTCCAATACCCCCAGAGATCTTTGTTCTTCTTTATGATATACATAAGGCTATTTTAGATGAAATCGGGGAGCTCCCTCATCCTCCATAGACAGAAACGAGACAGAGACTGCAAGTCTTCAGTGGTTTAACTGTAATATTTTGAAGCTATAGGTTCTTGTGTGTGCACATAAAGCAAAAATAATAATTATTCAGCATCGTCTTCTCCAGAGCAGTGTGACTGTGAGGAGAAGAAGGTTGTTTTGCGATAGATTTTTCTGGATGTTGAGTGAGTTCGGACGTGTCTGTCTATGGAGGATGAAGGAGCTCTCTGATTTCATCTAAATATCTTCATTTGTGCTCCATAGATGAATGAGATTTGAACGACATGAGGAAGAGCCATTAATAACATAATTTTACTCTTTAACTGATGGTCACATTATTTGAGTGTTGATTTGATGTCGCTGTTTGAATGTGTTGACATTTCAGAATGGAATTATAATGAGAGGCATGTTCTCCTGTGGTAACACAATGTTCATTGTTCTTTTCAGACGACTAGAGGATCTTACCTTGTAGGTGGTGGGTTATATGCACTGCTTGAATGTGATATAATCTGTTTTACTAGTGCTGGGGTGATATATTCAATATTTAAAAGATAATAAGGATTTCGTTGTCGATCATAAAATTGATCAAAATTTTGCATCATGTCTTTTATTTGGCTATACAAATTATTAAAAGCTTGTGTCTATTTTCACTCACCAAGTGCAGAAATATTTCGAATAAATTAAAAACTTATGTATAGAATATGATGTTTTCAGATCTTTAATATTGGAGAAAAATGTGTTTTTACCGTTACTCTAAATTAAAATAGACATCTGTATCTTTTTGTGTAAAGTACTTTGAGAATTAAACTTTAAAAAAAAATTATTATTATTATTATTGTTATAATAATTATTATTATTTATTATTATTTTTTAAAGTACATATACAGTGCTCAACATGAGTACACCCCTAACAAGTCTCTGATTTAAATTAATATGTTTAATAGGAAGCTATACAATATTATATTTGCGCATATACATTAGATTAGTAAGAATTGGAGCCAAATCTAGAGCTTATTCCCCAAAATAACTTTTGATAATAGTTAAAAGTTTGTACACCCAAAGTTATATATTATCAAAAAATATTAAATATTTTTTAAAATATTCAAGAGAAACAAAAAATGTACAGTTTTTTTGAAATTTTGTAGTTTTTATATCTTTTTCCCCAAAGATGTTTCTAAAGATGTTCAGTGACTATATTATTTTAAAAAATGTATCAGTTTAATGAATCTGTTTTGTTCAAATGCACCAAAATATATTGGCTATATTCACAGAGAAATGGATACAAATATTAATTTTCAAAATGAGGTGTGCTCATTTATGTTGAGCACTATATATATTTTTCATGTATGAATAGAAACTTATTTTTTTTCCAATTTTAAGGTTTGAAAATAATGTTATATTGACCTATTGTCATGCTCTACTTATACTACACTTTGAAAGATTGAATACACTTTATCTTTATACACTTTATACACATTATCTGTAGTTTATGAGATAATGCATAGAAACTTTTGACTCAAAGCATGTACCTATTAATGGCAAATAATAATATTAAATTGTTCTTTTTATTTTTGTTCAGGGTGTTTAGCTTTGTAAATAGCACTGAATGTTCTAGCAGAATAAAGTGTAATGAGGCTTCAATTTTATTTATTTTAATTTTAGCAAAAGAGTATAGCTTCCTTACATTTTTACAGGATTTACAGATGATATCTGCTAAAATGCCATTCGGTATAATAATTGTTAATATGCAACAACATGTTGTCTGGCTTATTAAGAACATTAATCTAAATTTAAGGATCATAGAGCAGCCCCAGAATACAAATTAATACTAATTATAAACCATGTTGGGGAAAGTTACTTTTGAAAATAATGCATTGCAATATTGAGTTACTCCCTAAAAAAATAACTAGTTGCATTACTAGTTAATAAGTAATGCATTACATTTACTTTTGCATTTTTTTTTCTGGACTGGTTGAGGCTTAAAGGAGCTCTTCAATTAACCACGCACCATATAGCCTATAACAGGTTCCACCAAACTTGTTCCTGGAGGGCCGGTGTCCTGCAGATTTTGGCTCCAACCCTAATCAAACACACCTGAACAAATTCAAGGTCTTTCTAGGTATACTTGAAACATCCAGGCAGGTGTGTTGAGGTAAGTTGGAGCTAAACCCTGCAGGGACACTGGCCCTCCAGGACCGAGATTGGTGACCCCTGGCCTAGATCTTCATTTATCTTAAAAAAAATAATAAAAAAAATACCATAGGATAATCTTATCTTCTGAGAACATCCTGACCTTTAACTATATGTCATATGTACAGATTATTGAAAGTGTAAAGCAATGCGTTTACTACTTTTGTTTTTTTGTCTTATTAATAAAGTAAAATCACTGGCTGCGTCCGAAGCCGCCTACTACTTAGTAGGTACTGCATTTGAATTTAAATGTACTACTTGGCCTTTAGAAAAGTACGTTCTATACAGTATGAACGTGAAAAGTATGAATGGAATTCGGACGTAATACATCCGTCATTATGTCATGGTCACGTGACCTACCTCCATCAATTGCGTCACTTTACTCCCATTCCTGAATTCTCTCGCAGGTCATCATGGGATAGCGCAGCGTGCATGGGATGCGCACTCTAGAATCTCGTTGGAAGTAGTAAGTCATCCGGGTACTTCTCGCATACTGATTTTCCAATTCTATGAATTTGAACATACTACTCGGCTCGCATACTGATTTTAGCATACTATATAGTATGAAAATATGCGGTTTCAGACGCAGCCACTGTCCATTAAGACAATCCTCTTATCCCTTTGTTTGATCCGATCAGAATAATGAGAAAACTTCCACTGCAGAAATGTAAGGCTCTGCCATCTTGGTTTCTGTCTGTTCCTGCATTCTCTCATTGAGTGATTACGTTCATTTTAATTCAGCTATTTATTTTTTACCTCGCATTGCATTTTTTTTTTTGCATTTTTGAAAAAGTAACTCAAATATTATTACTTAAAGTAATGCATTACTCTACTTGTTACTTAGGAAAGTAATATTATTATGTAAATTGTGCTACCTCTAATGTGTTTCACCCAACACTGATTATAAATATTTATACTTCACCACCTTCCTTCCAACAACTTGGTTAAAACTATTTGTCAGCAAGCTGTTTTTGTAAGGAATGAAAATCATTTTAAATACAATATGGTTTATCTTAAGTGAATCCTGGTTTGCTTCCTTCAATAAGAAAACCATTTCAGCGCAAATACACACTGTGTACATCTAAACTGTCAAGTATAATCAAAATTGAAATATCAAGTGCATTTTTTTTTAAGTTATATCTCCCAGCCCTAGTTTGTTTCTTGACTGCATCAGCAGATTCATCCCTTTAAAACCAGCCAAACTGATTGAATGTGGCCCAAACTGCCATCCCGTTCTTCGTCACTCTGCAGGCATGGCTGTACAGTACATCGCTTTTTCTGCTGATCCGAGACCAGATGTGCAGTAGTCTCTGTATTGTTTGATCAGATCGTTAGCTCAGATCAGCATAAAAGCAGATTCCCCGCTGGGTTGCATGACGGCTTCATGCTTTGCAAAACCCCCTGGCCATCAAACTAGCAGAAGGTGGAGCTCTTGAGCACAGAACAGGGTTATATTTTTTTTTTGAAACCCCGATTCTACTTTACATGGGAAAACTGCCCCAGCGGCCCTTGCGTTTGTAGGATAGTGATGAAGTATTCATGTAACCTCACTTTGTCCTTTGCGTAGCGGGCACGCACATCTATAATGTAGCCATTTAATCAAAAGCCTGTTCTCGCCATCTCTCCTCCGAGGAAATCACATCAGACAGGAGAGAAGCAAATTAAAAGCGGTTACACTTTCATCTTTCTTTTTATCTCACTTCTGTGGAAGTTACACATTTTCCCTGCTTAGTGGCAATGTTCGTTTTTGACTTCTATTTGAATTGTAGACTGCTGCATATGTGTTTTTTTTCTCTTTATTTGGCTTCTGTTTTCTGTGGGATGGATTAGACCCAAACTGCCCTCTCAGCGATGTGGAGAAAAAGCCAACCTAGATCAGATCCAGACATGTAGGCCAACGCTGCCAGCTAGGCTCAGTTGAATAGCTTACCTTACCCTTGGTCTATAGCAGTAGTTTACACATGGTTTGTCTGTTCTGGAAACTTGGCACAAAGCACATGTTTTTTTTTTCACCAACAATGAGCTCTGTGCTAACATTTGCTCTAATTTAGCACAGAGCTAATATACACATCCTGTGTTTGCCGATCTGGGATCAGCATAATGCTTCCAATGTAGTTGTAAGGATAATTCTTTTCCGAGGACACAAATCCTAGATCGTATAAAGGGCTCAGAGGAAGCTTTTTTGCTAGATTTGTGAGTCAAATCACAAGCAATATTTCACAGAAATCCTTAAGGACTAGTTTCGAAAAGCTAATGTGAAGTTTTTAATGTCATGTTGCAATATTGGGATTGATACATCAGGTATATATCACAGGATTGTCATTAGTTTGAGGTGTGCATGTCAATTCCTCTCTTTCAAATCCGTTCTCTTCCTCTCTCGTTTTTTGTGTGCTTATCCTATGCCTGTACGCCTCTTACTAAAAAGCCTAAATGCATGCTTCTGTTATTATTTGCTCAAACTTAGGTGGAACGAGTGTGTGAGCTAGTGTGTACTCTCTCTAAACTGGTTCAGTGTGTTCTTGCGGAGTTCTTGACTTGTGTCTTTTTCCCTGCAGGCTCCCAGCAGTCTCCTGGAGGCTCTTGAACAGCACCTGGCGTCTCTGGAGGGAAAGAAAACCAAGGAGCTCTCCGCTGACAACAGGTACTGGATGAAACCAGATCGATTCGCATAGTCCATCATTGCACTGTATTTTCAATATTTTTATTGCATTTTTTCCCAGATAATATACAAATTTACAAATGTATATGAAAAGTAGAAGTCCTATCAGCAATGAGATGACATGAAATGCATAGCAACAAAAACGAGAAAACTGTAGAACTCTTAAATCAAACTTACACTTTTCTACCCCCTTCTATGCACCATCCCTTCCATCTCCCACCCCTCCCTATTTTCTGAGGGCTTTAGTAAGTACGCAAAGGTGAATCAAGACACAGATAAATTAATAATAAGCCAACTGAAAAAATAATAAATTCATAAATAAAATAAAAAATAAATATATGGGCATATACAGAAGATGAAAATGTAAAACAAATACTAAAAGTCTCTCTTTCTCCCTTTTGAAATTCTATTCAGCAGTTCCTAAAATGTTAAGGTTTTCAATAACTGACAGTGTGGGACTCCATGTTTTGTTAAAGGAGTTTAGTGGTCCTTTAAAACAATCTCTTAGTTTCAGAAGATAGATGCAATGTAGAACCTCTTTAATCCAGTGTTCTGATGATGGAGGGGACACATGTTTCCATTTGAGGAGAATTGCGCACCTGGCAATGACAGTGTTTTTATGTTTGTGTAGTTGGGGTTGGAAGATAACTAAAAAGGGCAGTCAGAGAGTCAGGAGTGATGATTATATTAAGAGCTTGAGAAAGAATTTGACTCATTATACTGTAAAGGCCTATTTAGACATATGGATATTTGAAGTAATTGATCATTTTTGGTCAATTCATTAAATGTTCACGCTACCAGACTTTCACAGAAGCTATATTTCTATCCAAAGATGCGAATTCAAATATTGCACAAATCTAGAATACCTCATAAAAGACGCGAAAATAAAGTTTCCATCCAATGAGTCAAAGAGAACTAAATCATCACTTCCTGGTTAACTGGCACCAAATATAACAGTAAAATCTAAATTTGCTGCAATACGAGAAGCTGCATGAATCTTTTCTTTATGTAATAAATTACTTGCACCTTAGAGGACAATGCCGACATGCAATTAATGAATGCAATGAGACACTGAGCACAGACGCACTTGGCAATTCTGTAGGTAATTAATAATTAAATAATACTAATACTGAAATGATTAAGGCGTTTTAGAATGACCAAAACAACATTTCTGATGTTTTACAATGTGCTCAGCTTGCTGGTTTGTCCATTCACACACATTTTTATCATCACATGATCTCTTATAACAAAATCAAATAACTTTTTTTAATGTGCATACTGGAATCAGTAAAAGTGTTTTCATCGTACTTTACGCGCATCTTTTCTTATCAAATAAAAAGTTTATCCTACTCAGTTATGCACATACATTTTTTAATGCACATTTTTAAAATTAATGCGCGTAATGCCATTTCCATCTACCATTTTTTTATGCGCAAATCTAAAATGCACAAAATATGGTGGATGAAAACATAGCTACAGATAAAAAGTTTGTAAAGATCTTGTGAAAATAGACCCATATGAATTAAGTTACATGAAAATGAAACGCACCCAAAACAAGCCTGATGAATACCTTTCTTGGTGGATGGACTAAAAAGAATGCATTACCTTCAGTCACCTTTCATTAAACAAAAACAACGATCATTGAATTTAATCTACAGTCTCAGAAAACATCTAAACATTGTGCACACTGGGTTGTTTATTGCAGCATTTTGTTTTAGTCTTTACAAGAATTTTACACTTTACACTCATTTTTTACTGAAGTAATAGTCCAGTAGTAGCTTTTTTTTTTTTTTTTGTATTCATCACATTAGCTGTTCAACTTTTTTTTAACCTAACAGGTTACAAACCGTGAAAGAAAATTAAATGAAGGTGAAACTGCTGTTGTGTTTTTATATTCATCAGCATTACTTTACCCTTCTACTTTATAATAAATATGCCCAATAAACTAATGATTGTGAGTTGTGGTGCTGGACCTGTATTTGTGTAGGATGAAACAAAAAGGAAACATTGAGTACATTTGCATGGACACCAATAATCCGATTTTAATATGATTAAGACAATACTCTGATTAAGGTCTAAGCTCTGATTAACGACTAAGGTAATAATTGAACTAAACAGAAACCGAATTAAGACGTGGAGTATGCCGATTTAAGTCACATTATTGAAGTGCAGCACTGACATGTAATCCCCTCAATCTCACTATTGCTGTTGTGTAGGATTCTCGCCATGTTTTGCGACAGGATAGTCTATACACAGTTTGACACTATTCTCTGCACCTACCGAGTCCGTGAAGGACTACAGACACCTGCATCGCTAAATGCAGAGGTTGTTTCTCCCATACAGTGTGCGGTCTCAAATTCCATTAAAACAACACTCTTCCAGGTGTTCCACACATGCAGTGGCACGCATAAAATGTTCTTGAATGAAAGTGAAAGTGCCAAACTGCAGTTAAAGTCGACAAATTAATAAAAGACCCGAAATTACATGAAACTCCAGAGGATATGTGTATAGCCTGGTGACACAATGACGTTAAACGGATTATGTTCTATAACATGTAAAACAGGATCATGAAAGGAACATTGAAAAAGCAACTCATGTAAACACCATCATATATTGTTGTCCTATTCAGATTAAGGCAAATTATTTAGATTAGTGATGTCTATGGAAACGTAGTCACTGAGATGATGTCCAAACACATTTAATGTACTAATGAGCTCATTACAAATCGCTTTAAAACTAAAGTCAAGTCAGAAGGAACATGATCCATATAAACACCTCTGTCAGAATAAATTTGCCCAAACTGAATGAAATTGTAATTACATTGTAGAGGAGTGAGCTAAACCTTTCTTTAAATCTGAAAAATAATGTAAATGCATCTAAATGATTAATTTGCACCTATGTCATAATTTGCCACACCTTTGCTTTCAAAAGCATCGTCTTTTGTACTTCTGTCCAGATAAAGTTTTCTATTTCTGAAGATAGTTTGGATGTTTTTCTGGTAGGGTTGGGCCTATAGACAATGCCATCATCCATCGCCGATGGCAAATAAACAACACAATGCTGAGCCTGCATTGCCGATCCTCCACCCCCATCGCAAACCCGCTCGCGAAAAATACACACCTAGGCCCTGTTTACACTAATATGTATTGGTTTTAAAATGTCATTTTAGAACAAAATTGATTCACATTCACATTGTGTTTTACCTAGCATTTCTAAATAGCCCTCCCGTCTGCTGAAAACGCACACACACACACACACACACACACACACACACACACACACACACACACACACACACACACACACACACACACACACACCGTCCATCCCTAGTTTCAGGGTGTTTATAAAGTTTGCTGTTGTTCCCAGTCTCTGCTGCATTAGTGTGAACAGGGCCTAAGAAAAGTGTATGAAATGTGTTTCAAAGTGCTAATAATAGACTAACAATAACAAAACTGATGATATGGCAAGTTAGTGTGAAAACAGAATTATAACTGAAGCATGTTACTTGGTGGTAAACATTGTGGGCACAAAAATGGACTCATTTTCTGTGAAATAAAGCAGCTTGTATTAAGCAAATGACATCTCATTCATCTGATGTAAGTATATAATTAGGTGAAAGCTATTATGTGGCTTTGAAGATTATGGACAAAAATAAGTAGTCACATGTTAGTTGCTGCATATGCAGAGTCTCATTTTACAGCACAAGCAAGCTGTTGAAGCACTTGATAAAGCTACAACAAATCATTAGCGAGAGATTTATATTTAGCCGCATGCTGACTTTTTTTTAGACTCAACAGTGTTAAATTTATCAGGTCTTGAATAAAGAACCAATAGGGAAACCTCATTTCAGTTTGTTTGTGTGTGTGTTTGTTTGTCCACAGAGCCAACACACTGTCCAATGCAGTGTCGTCCCTGTCCAACACAGGCATGTCCTTCTCTTTCTCATCCAGCAGAATGGATGAGAAGGAGAAACAACAGGCCCTGGAGGAGGAACAAGCCCGTCTGCAAGCACTCAAGGTGGGCCACAATCTTTTATTGTCGAATTCGTTCTCGCTAGATTTTAAGTTATTCTGATTTTGTTGGCTATGGCTAGTCAAATGGTTTGAGAAAACTGATTGCAGCAAACCAACTTTATTAAACCAACTAACTTTATTATTTGTGTTTAGTCAACGTAAACTATTTCACACAATCAGTTTCCTTAAACCATTTGAGTAGCTATATAGTTGTTTGGACTTTATTTGTTCTTGTTAATTTGTAATCGTACAGAATTGATAACTGAACTTAAAACACGAAATAACTAGTCAATATAAATAAATTTACGGTACTCAAACTATTTGGTTTTAAAACTTAAATGGTTTGCTTGAATTGATTTCCTCAAACAGTCTGAGTTAACTTGTCGGTAGGTCAGACAGAATCTGCAGACATTTTTTTGTCATTTCTGCGCAGAATTTTGTAAATTGTTTGTGGATTTATGCAGAATGATTTTGGGTGTGTCATAGCTAAAAACTTTGTGTATGAAATGAAAAATAATACCTTGTTAACTTTTATTAAAGGTTACAATGCAAATCCAATTTGATCCACTTATATTTGGTAAACAAAACAAGTCTCTCATAATATATCTACTAAAAGACAGAAAATATTACTTTAAAAACTATTACTAAGTAAATCAAGTGAACATTCACATATTCAGTTTTTAAATTAATTTCAGTAATATTGATGACTAATAAGTATAAATGTACACACATTTACCTCAATAGACTCAAAGGTGGGCTAAAAATCAAAGAATTTTGTGCGCGCAGGTTCTGTGTGGGCTTTTACAGTTTATGGTATTATATTACATTGCATTATATTTAAAAAAAAATCAACTCTGCTCATCAACGCTTTCTTTATTTGACCAAAAATCTATTAAAACCATAATATTCAGATGTGTTTACTCAGATGTACTTAGTCTTCAGTTTCATGTGATCCTTTAATATATTAATATGTTGATTTTTATTTATTTATTTATTTTTTTTTATGTATTTGGATTATTATTGTTAGTTGTGAATCATTAATAATGGTCCTCATGGTTATCAATGGGGAAATTATTTTTAGTCCTGTATAGTTTTGGTGAATTTTACTTTTTATTTTGTTTATTTATTTTATTATTTTTACATGTATAAATGTTTTTTTACTCATGAATAATTTACAGTGAACAAAAGCAGGTACTTTTAGATGGAACTTCATCGTCGTTTACACAAAAATATGAAGGAGCCCAAGTGTTTTTAACACTGAAAATAATGTTTCTTCAGTAGCAGATCAGAATATTATAATGATTTCTGAAGGACTGTGGAAAACCGATGATTGAAGAAATGATGCTGAAATTCACTTGTAATGCAGATGAAATTAAAATATTAACAACATTTAGATAAGAAATCACTTAAGTGCCCGCTATTATGTGGATTATGAGCAAAAATAAGTAGTTAGTTGCTGCATATGCAGAGTCTCATTTTACAGCGCAAGCAAGCTGTTGAAGCACTTGATAAAGCTACAACAAATCATTAGCGAGAGATTTATATTTAGCCGCATGCTGACGTTTTTTGTTTTAACACTGTTAAATTTATCAGGTAATAGGGAAATCTCACTTCAGTGTGTGTGCGTGTCTACAGAGCCAACAATCTGTTCAATGCAGGGTCGTCCTTAATGTAAACAACATTTAAAAAAAGAAATCACTTATTTTAAGCTAATAATATTTTACAATTTTGCAGTTGTTATTGTATTTTTTGCTCAAATAAATACAGCCTATGTTATCAGAAAAGGATTTAAAAAAATCTCACCTATCCCAAACTTTTTGACCAATAGTACATAATATAAAAATATATATGGAGCTGGCATATCCCATTTCTTCCTAGAGAAGTTTGTTGCAACAAAGTTTGGAAGTTCTGGAGCTGCTGTTGTGGGAACATTGTGTTCTACGCATACAAGGGTGAATGTGTATTTACACAATACGCCCTTGTACCTTCAATGATCTGCCTTCAGCAGTAATGGTCAGCAGGGTTAATCAAACTGCTTTGTCCCCATCAGGGGCGTACTGTCATACCTTATAGACCCCTCAAACACACACACACACACACAAACACAGAAAACAAATAACACGGATGTCAGTGGTGTGCAAAGTGTCCTCAGATGCACCATGGCTCTGCGTCTGAATAGTTCAAACATTCTGAGCAATTTCAAAATGTTTACACAGAACGTGTTCAGTTAAGTCTGTTTGAAATTGAACTGGTGTTTCTTTGTGATTATCACATTCTCAACACTCTTAATGGAGCATGCAGTTTTTTGGCTGTTAATTCCTCTTTGTGCATGTTTTTTTCCCTTGTATTTTCTCATTGTTGCAAAAGACATGCTGAAAGACATAAATTGGGCGATGTCGAAATCTGCTTCTTCCTTGAGAAACCTGCTTCTTCCTTTAGAAACCAAAATCTGCTGAAGTGATGCACGTTTTAAAAAAAAGTTTTAAAAAAAGTTTTTAAAAAAATTGTAAGGCTGCACAGTTTGGCCAGTAATTGATAATGATCATATTGCTGCAGTTATTATTATTATTATTATTATTATTATTATTATTATTATTGTTATTATTATTATAAAAAATTGTAAGGCTGCACAGTTTGGCCAGTAATTGATAATGATCATATTGCTGCAGTTATTATTATTATTATTATTATTATTATTATTATTATTATTATTATTATTATTATTATTATTATTTATTATTATTATTATACTGGTTTTTAATTTGCTTCTTCCTTTAGAAACCAAAATCTGCTCTAGAGGTGCATGTTTTTGTTAAATAAAGAAACTACTTTTGTAATTTTAAAATTAAGTAAAAATTTAATTTAAATTTTTTTAATTTAGTTTGGCTAGAAATTGATGATGATGATATCACTGCTGTTATTTTATTTTTTATTATCTTTTATAATTAGGGCTGGGTAAAATATGGATCAATATATGCAATATTTTCCATATTGAACGATAACGATATATATTTTGATTTAAGTTGTTGATGCAGAGTAAAAGAGCACCCCTACAATGACTTAAGCCACAAAAATTAGAGGGTCATTCAAATGGCGTAACAACATATTTTCGGCAGATAAATTTTTGATAGCCGAAAATTCAGTAAATCTCTAATATCAACACTTTCAGATCCCCATTGTTGCACATTTCTGCTGTGTGATTGGCTCCTAAATCAATATAGATTTAAAGTTCAGAACTTATCATTGTTATTAATATACAATTCATCGCAATTTGATATAATATGGTTTATTGGCCCCTCCCTAAGTAAAATTACTAATATTATTGGTATTAGTAGTATTTTACTGTAATAGGTATTTAATTGGCTTCCTTTAGAAACCAAAAATCGTTGTAGGGATGCATGTCATGTTTTTGTTTAATAAAGAAACTGGTATTGTGTTTTTTTTTTTTTTTTATAAATAAATAAATTGTTGGGCTGGCCAGAAATTGATAATGATCATGATAATATCATAGCAGTAGTATTTTTAATATTTATTTAAGAATAGCATTTGGTATTTTTTTTAATTATGATCCAAATGTTTAATACTGTATTTATTATACATTTACAGATAGTTTACAATTGAACTTCTATTTTGATAGAAAAAGAGCCTTTGCTAGTTATTCTTTTGATGTAAGCATATACATTTACATATACAGAAAGATAGCTGATCCATATTGTGATTTCAAATGTCAAAAGCGGCCTCAAGAACAAATAAATACAAAAAGTGAGTCAACTTGAGCCATAACGAGCCTCAGAAAAGACTGGATCATCAGCTGCTTGCGTGCCAGAACAGTGCTGTGTGTCACACTAAATCATGCAGTGCTTATACTTGTATAATTAAATCATAGCCTTTACAGCCTAAAACATGCAACAAGCCATATAGCAGCTCCACTATTAAATAATCATGCAGCCAGGGTTATTTTCGGAGTCAAAATTGGTCTTTATTGGTGGCTGACTGGCTTTGTCATATATACACAACAAAGAAAACTCATCATTATGTTTTAGTATAGAGCGTTTCGATGTGGTTATGTCATTAGCCCATGAACATTTCCTGCTTGTTATCAAACTGTTTCTTAACTGTAACAAGAGGCAATACAAACATAACTTAATGTAAAAACCATAACATTATTTATTAATATGTGTTTCTTTTTGGATTCTCGGTAAGTTATAGAAATTAAAAATGTACAACAGGAAATACTTTGGAAATATTGTTTTTGTTTACATCCCTCATATCCATTAAAAAGTAGCATTAAAAAAGGAAGCTTTAAAAATGTGTAAGTGTTTCTTTTAATGTATACAGTTTAATGAAGTTGGCAGCTAGCTAGCAAACAGCTTTCTTTGTGCTTCAATCTAGTTTCAAATCCAGTTTAATTGCAAACTAAATGATTTTATAGTTGATTTAGTACACATTGTCATAGGCCTATAAATACTGTGGATTATTAACATAGACTGTAAGGGTATTAAGTATTAAATTTGACTACTCTTGCTACGTAAAAGGGGTAAGAACACTAGCATATCATATGTGTGTGTTCCTTTAGTAGTAATAATTTGTTATACACAGATTCAGAGACTGACTGGCAGACTGCATCTAGAAGCCAGACATCAGATCAGACATGGTTCTAGGTTTGGCTGGTCAAATGTCAAGCAGTTTTGCTCAAGTCACTAGCTTGGCTTGAAAAATGCATGATTTATTGACTTCTCTTGTTCAGTTCGTGTAGTTTGTTCAGTGTGTAGAACTTTCTGCTGCCTAGAAAATCATGTCTGACTATCTCTCTACTACATACACACACACACACACACTCTGCAGGTCTGAGCTGTAGCTGACTGGCACTTGAGCTGCCTGAGTGGCTGTAATCTGTCTGATTTCACAGAGCTCAGCTGAAGGAAATGCTCTGTTCTGTCCTGCTCTCCAATGACCATCGGAGAGGAGGAAGGAGCTGAACAACCCAGTCTTTACATGCTTCACATTCTCTAAATGTTTTTTCTTCTTCATTTTCTCGTGTTGTGTGTTTGGGTAGAACCAGCGTCTGAAGGAGATCGGCATGCAGACTCCCACCGCCTCGCCCAGCACACAATCTTTGGGCAGTGCCAACAACCACAACGCAGACGTGGACCTGTTCACCAACACCACAAGCCCACCATCAATCAACAGGTCATTAACACACTGTACATGGCTGCAATACATATTATAACAAACAGTAATACAAAACACCTACTTATTACTACACCATATAATGCACAGGGTTAATACATACTTGAGTTTTAGGGTTAATTTACAGTGGTGTAATGAATTACCATTATTCAAGTTACTGTTATTTAGTAGTTTTTATTGTAACAAGTTGTTTTTATAAATGTGTGCTTTTATTTTAGTGCTGTGTTGGTAGTTTTGCAGCACTATTTTCTTTTAACTTACAGTAACTACTGTACTTTGCTTCTTTGTTTGTTTCTTTGTTTGTGGTGATTGGCTGAGTAGATTAATCAGTTCCTTGATTCTCGTCCAATTAACTTGTGCCTAGAAAAATCAACTCCAGACTAGGACTGTGTGATTTGGGGAAAATATCTAATTGCGATATTTATTTATTTATTGACAAATATTGCTTCGATTTGATTAGCCATTTCATTTTGTAGTCAAGCTTCAGCTCAATAATATGTATTGTAGCTTCTTACTGCTAAAATGCAGTGAGTGCTACTGAAAAGATACTAACTTAATGAAACATTTATTCAAATTAGTTTTTAAAAAATTCTGAAATTAAACAGCCATTTTTCTCTAGAGCAAACAGTAAGCACTAATACTATGACCTTACCTTTCACACATACCTGCATTGAGAGCCATGAATGCACGCAAAATACACAAAGTTATCAAAACATTAAACTTAATTTTTTTTTAAACCAGAATATTCTCATATTACAGATACCCTGTTTTTCTTTTATATTAATTTGTCTATTAATGCTTCTGAAGTGGCAGACGCCATCATTCCACTCGTCCACACTTTCCTGTTTGTGTTTTTTTTGTATGCATTCTGCAGAGTATGGTTACGTATTCTATTTGGGCAGAATGAAAGTGTGCTCACTCAGTTGGCTAGTAAGACTGTCACACACAGACACCATGCACGCATTTGCTCTGGGTAGGGAAAATTAAATAATGCATATTTCATATCGCTGCCTCTTGCGGTTACCTAATCGCAACTTTTCAAATTGCGATTGCGGTTTGATTTCGATTAATCGCACAGCAATACACCAGACAGACTAACCAAGACCAACTCAAGACATGGATGATTTGTAAATGAAAGCATGTAGACTGTAGAAACATGAAAATTGTCCACGAAGTCTAAAAATTGCAACAACTGAGAGACTGCGCTACATTTTAGACTGCACTGCGACTTTTTAGCGAGTAATGGTGCTTTTACTTTCAAGTTTTCAATCTTCTTTGTTGATCTTTTTTAAACTATGTGAGGTTTATTGATTTTAATATAAAGATGGCAAACAAGAAATATTTGAGATTCTGTATACTTTTGGACCACTTATCTAACAGCTAATTTATAACATTTATCGTGTGAAATTTTTGTCAGGTTTAAGTGTTTTCCTTGACATGAAACTCTTCTCAGACAATGCTTTGGAACTTGAAGTTTGTATGCTTATACAGAAATTGCCCTTTTTAATATTTAGATTTACAAATGTAATCATTTTTCATCATTTTATTGTAGCGTCCTCTTCCTACGAAGGGCCCTGGGTTTTTTATTCATCTGAACACTCTAAACTATAGTTAACCTCAAAAAGGAACCCACAGCATGATACCAGTTCAGATAAATAATAAACACAACCAGCCTGGTACAAAATGATCTTAACAAATTCACTTAAATACAGTAAAGCAAACAAATGTATACAAACAAAAGAAAGCAAAAGCTTCTTGTTTTTTCCGAAACTCAAATGTCCACATTGCATTTAGTAAAGGTAAAAAAAAAATATATATATATATATAAAATAAAATTAATAGATAAATAAATAATCCGTGTTGCAGGCCTGTGTCAGTGCATAAAACACAGTTGCCCCTTTACCCAGAGGGCAAATATACAACAGTTAACAGAGCTCAGGGAATACTCCAGAATTGGAGCTACAGTAAGTGAGGGAATAGAAGAGAGTTGGCAGGGAGTGCTGCGTCCACCGCTGCCAGAGGAGCCACTGAGATGTCCTGGTTTCTCAGGGCGCTATCTGGGATGTCTAGGTTCATTAACGATACACAATTGCGGTTCACAGGTGCGAATTTCCAAGAAGGAAATTGCTATCCTCAAAGGATAATAGACATTCTAGCCTCTCTTTAGTTCTCTGTTCGACAACTAAAGTTAGCTCAGCAAATGATCTCTCTTACACCAACGATCACTCCGACTTCTACATCACAATGCTCTTCCCTTTCACTCCCTTCATATTAACTTCTGATCACCCTACAACCACACACACAACACAACAGGCTAGACTTAAATTAAATATAGGTACATCAATTCAGAAACAAAAAATACATCAATCAATAAACGCATAATAAAATAAATAAAAAATATTAAAACAAACAAATTGACAGCTGGGCTTTAATATTTTTGTTGAATTTAGCATTAATAAAAAAAAAATATATAAAAAAATTCCCTTTGGACTCTGAGCTGCTCAGTGGTGTAATCCAAATGTGCAATTGGTGAGAATGAAAACGCCTTGTACCATCTTGAAGAACTGGGCCAACTTCAAAAGACCAAACCACAGCTGTGCAGTTAACTCACTGCTGTCTTTTAATGTAGTCTACATAAGAACATTGGACTCTTTTTGGGGAAAAAAATATCAACCTCTGCTTAAGATTCTTTTCCAAAGCCAACAAAGCCTTCACTGAACACAAAGAATGAAAAATAGCTTGTGTGTGTGTGTGTGAGTGAAGTGACTACTAGTTGACGTCTACAGAAAAAAAAAGACACAGCCATCAATACCTGCTGTTTCGATTCTTTCCCCCATCTCGAGTGATGATGAAGCCACTCAACCTCAACATCTAGAAACCAATGAAAATCACGGTCCAGTTATTTTTTCGACTAGGCTACAACTAGACATTGTACACTAGAGCTGTGAAATCAAGCTTTTTTCATGATTCATTCTGTATTACTCATGTTCTAAACTTTTTGTTTTTCTTTTACAGCATGCCAAACCTCACCAGTGACTTGTTTGACCTCCAGCCTGCCTTCGTTCCTGCTGTGCAGAGCACTCCTATCTCCACCGCCAGCAGTGCCTGGGGAGGTGCGGCCCACTCCACCTACACACACACACACACACACACACACACACACACACACACAAAGACACACACTCACACACCCACTCTATTGCTTTACCGCTTTAGATCGCTGACCTTTAATTCAGTCTCAGAAAAATCAGTAGAACAGATCAATGCTTTGTTAACTTGCAGTAAATGTTCATTTAATTATTAGTTTGCTTGCTAGTTTATTCCTACACACATTGGCAGTTTCAAATAATCAAGGTGTTTTTTTATAAGCCCTGTCCCAAATGCTGCTATTAAGCCCTTGGGGTGTTTTAAGCGCACACTTAAACTCACAAATTTGATATTTGCTTTGCCAAAATACCTATTAAAGGTGCATCATGACTATAAACAGAAGTTATAGAAGATGACAAAAGCAACACAATATGTTTTGTAGACTTTGCAAACACACTTTGATAAGTGCACCATTTAGGACAAGGCTATAGGCAGCATATTAGAGCATCATGATTCCCTAGAGTGCTGTTTAGATGAGTAGGTCACAAGTTTTATAACCCAACCAGTGTGTCAATTCAGTTGTGCTTTCCATACCCATCCATCCCATTGTTTTGGATTAGGACCATGTTTTAGATATTCTGATGCATGACCGATTTAGGTGGTGTTCCGCTGTGGGATTATCGCTGTGCTTGGTGTCAAAGGTTCATTTTCAGCACTTCAGCACATCTGCCGGGGCAGTGTGAATTGAGGACACAAGGTGCAGAGAGTAGACACACTGCCAGACTCTTAACTATGCCAGGATTTGTAGGTCACAGCATGCACTTGGAGCGTGCGCTTTGCAGCTAGTGGGCAGGTGCGCTGAGGGCTAGCCAGACGTACAGCGAGACTCAGGTCTCCAGAGACCCGCATATACTACTAACAGTGCAAAGACACACCAATGCAGACAGATGGAGCAATGAGGTGCTTAAAAAAAGAGAACGGCTGCTGAGTAATGAGGAGAGGGGAGAGAAAGAGCCACAGGCACAGATTTAAGCTGGATATTGTTGTTTACAATAGAAATCCTACCATAATAGGAATTCATAATCATTTCATTTGTATGATGAAAGTGTTTCAGCTAAAATGTATGCATAATGATTTTGGCAGACACACAAGCCATTTAATGACATTCTCGGAGGGATGAAAACTGTTATCAGAAACTTTAAAGGCACAATATGTAATATTGTACAATTAAAATATTCAAAATATAGTCAAATACCAAAGATCTTTTCGTTAGACTGCACAGAGCTGCATTTTAACTGAACCCTGAAATGTGTTTATCACGATAAATGACCGATAAAAGTCATCTTGCATAATAAAAGCTCTGCTACTTCCTTGCTGAATCGGGCTCATGTCTCATCAGCAATTCAGTGTGCTCATTTTACTCTGCTATATACTACCATGTTAATAAGTTTTAAATACTTTAGCCATCCATAAACATGATTTTTGCAGGAATCCCATGGGATGTAATTAAGAGAACAACTCCCATGATTTCACACTCGTGTGTCATGATGTCAAACTACTTTTATTTTGTAGTAAATATGCATCCTTTTGTGCAGAAAATTACATACCGTGTCTTAAATGTTTAATGTAAATAGTTCTGATTTAACTGGCCAAGTTATTTTTTGAGACACTGCTCAATTTTATGCATATTTATAATCATTCAAATATGGCCATGAATTGCATTGTTTTTTATTACATTTTAAAAATAGATAAATATAAGTGTTTTTTGAGGGTTTTTTTGCATAAATAATATTTTAGATCAGGGGTGTCCAAACCCTGTCCTGGAGAGCCACTGTCTTGCAGATTTTAGCTCCGACTTGCCTCAAAATACCTGCAAGGATATTTGTAAAAAGCCTAGTAAGAGCTTGATTAGCTAGCTCAGGTGTGTCAGATTGGTGTTGGAACTGAACTTTGCTGGAGACCGACCCTCCTGGACCAAGTATGGACACCTCTGATTTAGAGTTGTAGAATAAAAATAATTTAGAATCCATAGGCCCCTTTCTCATTTTTAGAAACACAATTTTGATAGGTGTGCCGCACTGAAGATGAATACTTAGTTGTTTTAAGCATTAAAATGTGTGGATGCTAGTTTAAAAACAGTATGGGTCATTTTGGTTTCAACAAAAAAAAAAAAAAAAAAACCTGCACACAGATTCCTAGGACATAAAATGAAATAGATAATAAAAGTAATGGATGAAATAAGAAGACTGTGATTGCATCTCATCTCATTGCATTTACATTTTGGCTGCTTGGTTTTTGGGCTAAAAACAATATTTTGAGCTCTAAAATATGCAATATGTTTTATAATAAAATTATTTATGTCAAAAGGTTATGGGAAATTTTAATTCGTAATTCATCACCCCTTATGCATGCCATTTTGCTGTTAAGTAACCTGGTGATGGAAAAAAAAGCTGTTGCTAAAACTTGAGTATGAATCTAGTGATTTAATAAGTGACTGGTTTTATTTTAATGAATTGTGCAGCCCTAGAATCGGTTTTAGAAATGACTGATGTGTGCAGTAAAAGAGCTCATGTAGTGTCAAGTTGTTTCATTTTTTTTGGTTTAAAGTATTCGTTAACACTTTAGTTTTGGTCACAATTCATGATGTTAACTGCTAGTAGTTATAAACTATGATCTTATTCTGCATATTATCAACCCTACTCAAAACCTAAACTCTAAAACCTAAAGCTTTTACCCTACTAAGAATTAATAAACAGGTAATTAGTAGTTTTTTTTAGCTGTTAGTTGATGATTTGTTGATGGCATAAATTGTGACCTAAACTAAAGTGTTACCAAGTAATCTTGTTAAATAGAAAATTTAAAAGAAGCATTTATTGAAACACTTTTTTCTAATACTGTCATTTACTCACTGTAATGCACTCAAAACAGTATCAAACACTTCAGTATCATTGTATTAATTTAATTTAATTTATTAAAAGCCATAAAGAAATTACTGAAACACAAATACAAACACATTCTGGCTATAGGTCTAATGAGAATTTGAATTTCATTTTAAATAATTAATTTGAATTTGTGCATCACTGTTTCATAGTGTTTCCTATTTATTCCTACAGAACGACAGTAATGTTGTGTTATGTGACCTCTGTTTAACAGTGTATGTGTGTGTGTGTGTGTGTGTGTGTGTGTGTGTTACACTCAGGTGTAGAGAGCAGCACTCTTCATTCCATGACTTCCATGCCCACCATGAATGTAGATTTTGATGCTGTATTTGGGACTAAAGCTTCCAATACTGACGTGAAGCCTTCAGCTGGTAAACTGTCTCCCGAGTGTGTTTTTAATAACTGCGCTTATTAATCTCTAAAGATCTGACCCTTGCTGCAGTGCTTAATATCTGCAAAACTAAGTAACCTTCACCTGAAAGTAAAACACTTCAGCTGGTTTTTGCTGTATGGTGAGTTTGTGGAGCTTTGCTGAACGCTGAAACAAACTACGCAGCACCTGCCTGAGAGATTGGAAATGAACTTTGGGCAATCGCTAATGCTTTTTTTTTTTTTTCTTACTCGCTCACTTCACTGCTCAGTGGATTTGGATGGTCTGTTATCATCCCTTCATCCATCCACTCTGTATGTGTATGTGTATGTATGTGTGTGTGTGTGTGTGTGTGTGTGTGTGTGAGTGGAGGCTGGGTGCTGACTAGCATTTTTCTCCATCTGTTAATCGCTTGTCGTTACACTCCTTATCTGAACTCGGAACAGACGCACACACACTTTCCTCTTACCAATACACTCTTTCTCTTTTTCCTTCCTCTTCTCTTTCCTTGGCCGCTTTTTTTTCTTGCATATTTTGTTTTATTTTTCTCCCTCCTCAAACCTTTCACTCTCTTCTGCTCTCTTTCCTGGTTATGATGGCTGATCTGATGTGGTAAGTGTAATTGTGCGTGTGTGAGGGTTTTTTTTTTTTTAAGTCCTTGGCCTCCTCGCTCCTGCTGGCGAAGCAGGAAGTCGAAGTGTATAAATATGGCATGTGTCAGCAAACCGTTTCTCTCACTTTCGTTCTCTCATTTGCTAAAAGAATTAGCAAAATGCCCCGTGCCATTTACCATTTGAAGACCGGCCATCAGTGGCCTCTTCAGTTAATGAAACATCACCAATCAGCTGTCTGAAAATCAGCATGAACTGACATTCACAACAGGGGGTTGTATTATTGCATATTTGTATTGTTTATTGTTGAATATAGCTTTTGAGATGTACAGTTGAAGTCAGAATTATTAGCCCCTCTGTTAAATTTCTTTTAAAAAAATTTAGCCCAATTTTTGTATAATTTGCGAGCAGATTTTTTTAAACACATTTCTAAACTTAATAGTTTTAATAGCTTATTTCTTATAATGGATTTCTTTATCTTTGCCATGATGACAGTAAATAATATTTTACTAGACATTTTCAGGATGCTGGTACGCAGCTTAAAGTGATATTTAAAGGCTTAACTAGCTTATTTAGGTTAATTAGGCAAGTTAGGGTAATTAAATAGGCAAGCCATTGTATAACAATGATTTCTTCTGTAGACAATCGGAAAAAAAAATCGTAACTGGCTAATAATATTGACCTTAAAATGTTTTTTTTTTGTTGTTTTTTTTAAGTAATAGCTGCTTTTATTCTTGCTGGAATAAAACAAATAGGACTTTCTCCAGAAGAAAAAAATCTTACAGGAAATAATGTTTGTAAAATATTCGAAAAATAAAAAATATTGCACAGGAGGGCTGATAATGTTGCCCTCAACTATAAATGCAGTTGTCATTTTAAAGTCCCCAGCTGTGACTGTTGTTTTTTGTATTGTGATGCAGTTCCAGTTTTTCTCATTATTTCTGTTTGTTTTCAATACAGTTGGAGCAGCATGATTAAATATGTTAGCCACGGCCAATTTCTAAGATATACGTAATCTGACAATTTAACGAAAAAAAAAAAAATTTAAATAAAGATTTCATTTAAAGATTAGAAGGGCAAACTTTTTTTTCTTAATGACATGCATGGATGAAATGTTCACCTCAAAACTGGCAATGTGAGCTAACAAAATGATATGGTTAGTTTAGATTTTTGGGGACTTTAACTAAAATGTGCATAAAAGTAAAAAGTTTAATATAAAACTTTAGTCATTTTTTCCGTTTAAGTCTAAGTAAGTTTAGCTTTTAATTATTAAAAATATTAAATTCAGCTATATGTTTGCAAATGCAACACTTAAAATTTTTTAATCAAAAATCTAAAGTTCATGTTTTATAGTAAGCTTTATTTAAGTTACACAGGTTATAGTTCTTCTCCGTGTCATGATTAGTTTACATAATTAAGTTAATATTAATATTTCTGTTTTGTAGTTTACATTTATAATTTGAGGCTTATGAAGGAAGCAGGTATTTATTGTAGGGCATAGAAAGTTCACATAAGAATTGAGAATTTTTATCTATATTTTTAAAGTGGATGCTGATTGTCAAGTTTGGCTTCAGACTGATTTATACTTCTGCGTCAAGCGCACACGTATGGTCTGGCGTGGCCTTCATGCAGTCGCATACCCCTCGCTGTGGCCGATGCTGATGTGCACCTCTCAAAAAAGGCAGCTACATGTCGCAACAATGCGTAACACAAGCTCTGTTATTGGTTGGCTTGGTAGCGGTTGACGAGTGTGGGCGGTACTGATAGCCTCAAACTCTATGGAGCGATTGTTTAGTGTTGAGTCCCATGAAGGAGCTCCAGACAGAAACTTTTGTTTTGTGTTTACCTTATGATTAAAATAGTTGTTCACTGGTACCCTGCCTTTGAATGAGTGAGTTTTAGCTACTTGTACATTTAAGGTAGCATTCAGAAAAAACAAAACACCCGAAGAGAAACTCGACACAGCGGAACATAAAAACCCACTGCTAGCTCAGAAGTGTTATTGCAGAGCAACTCAAACAGCGTGCAGAAATGTAAATGCACACCTGTGCGCAAGGCAGGTGCCATGGGCCACGCCAATCACTGGACACAAAAGTATAAATTAGCTGTTATTGAGTATTTTAAAAAATGCTGCTTTATCTATAATACAGTATAAGTCACGCTATATAAATAACATTTAATCATTAGCGACCTAGTTAAAATCAGAAAAAGTATGAGAGGTGTTAAATTATAGGCGTTCTATTTAAATGTTATTAAAATATTATAAAGACTCTTTTCATTTTGAAATGACACTGATTAAACACCCACAATAATTCCAGAGGTGTTTATTAGGAGACTAAACCGGGCCATCATTTTGCTTTCATGTTGGCTTAAATGCTTCCATAAAGAGACAAAAGAGACTAAAAAGGATGACATAGATTTCCAGTTCGGTTACGCACCCCTGCCGCGTTATTCCCTCTCAGATCTCAGGGTGGTTCCTCCAGTCCTGACCTCGTGTTCTGCTCCAGATCTCTGTGGGTCTTTTGTCATGCCGTGAGTGTCTTCACAGAGGCTCATTCCTGCTGCTTGCATCATTATAAACATCAGCAGGACTCCAGCACGCTTTCTTTCTCCTCACTTCTGTCTCTCTGCTCTAACACTTACATCCTAACCAGACCTGATGCCACAACTTTCTAGCAACAAGCAATTTGTGTGTCCACACTGAAAGAGTAACAACTGCACAATGTGACACTTTCACATCCATCAAGAGTGCATTTGATGTTTAATGATAAACGCATCCTGTTTTTACTTTCCTCAAGACTGATCGAATGCTGTTATAAATTCACTTATGTGCTTTTTGGAACTCTAGCATAACTGCTATTAACATTAGGATGCACAGAAATATAATTTATATATTTTTTCAGGCTAAAAGGTGTCATTTTTCTCACAAAATACTAAAGATACAAACCCTAAAATAGATGTAATTAAGTCACCTTAAAATTTGTGCATGAATTTTTTTGGACTACAGAACATCCTCAAATGCTCCTAAGTTTTTGGTCTCATGAACAGAAATCGAATAATCAGTGTTTTTTTTTTTTGGCCTCTGCTATTCTATGTTGTGCCTATTTTTTTGCTTCATTTCATTAAATAAATTGATTTTAGAACATAATTAAACTAAACAAATTATGTTATATGTAACGGCTGCTGAGTTTAATACTTGAATTTAATTTAAATTTTGTCTATAATAATATTTACTTGGATATTGTTGGAAAATATCAAACACATGAATGATTTATTTTAAACATGTTTTAGTTCTTTAAAAAAATCTTTTTTTGTGATTTTAGTAAAAAAATTGTTTAAATATTGAATTTCATTTTTAAATATTGAATTCTATGTAATAAATAAGTTAAACAATGCTGTTTGCACTGTGCTCGTACTTCATCTTTTATTTTGGTGCGTCAATCTAGTAAAATTGTGTTAAAAAATGAGGAAGGATTTGAGCCAAAATGTCTTTTGTTGTTGTTGTTATTATTATTATTATGGAATGTAAAATAAAACAAAATAAGATGAAGTGTTTATGTAATGGGATGGGGTATATGGTAAGACTCTTTATTTTTAGTCAGCCAGGCCAAGAGCTTCCAATAAACTGTTGCGTCATTACAAAATTGACATGTTTAAGATCTGATATTTTAAAAAATAAGTAATTTTTACTGCCTGACTGACATGCGATATAAAGTGGGTGTCAGACTGCACAAGCAGCACTGCATTCAATTTCTTTTTCCTCACCATGTTTTTAAAATATGGAAATTTATTTTACCCCCGTATTTTTAATGGAGTTTTTGCGCTCGCCTGCTGCTCCTGACATGGTTTACAGTCTTTCATTTCATTTTCAACATAAAAAAAGTAACAGTAACTATAAAATGGTAACATAAATGCTTTTAATAACTAAATATACATGGGTCAGAGAGGGTTGAATCTTTATTTATCAGCTTTAATTATTATCAGCTGTAAATTCCTAATCTAAAGAGAGGATTATGAGGGGGGAGTGCAATGGGTCGTAAATTGAAAAATGTTTGTTTTGTGGATGGGATATAGCTAGTAATACTTTTAAATTTCTACAAAGATTGGATGGAGCAACCTAATGTATTCAGTCCACTTGGACCAGATATTTCTGAAACCAGTAATTTGGAGTCAAAAGGAGAATGTACATTTTTTGTAATTGCTTTTTTGGCTAACTGATTATATTTTAATTACATTACAACACTGATGCTGTAAATTGAACTCCATGAAATTGAAAATAGTCGCATAAACCTTTCATCGAAAATGTATCTTTGGCTGGAAAAACACTAGCTGTGCATATACCCCATTAAATAATCAATTATTATTACAATCAATTATGCAAAAAAAATTCAAAGGTCATTTTTGGTTTGGTTTTTTCAGTCATCCTGAATGTTTGGTTTCAGCTTCAGCCCAGATTATTAATTTCAGTGCAACTTTTATTAGCAAACAGTTGCAAAGTTGGTTATTTCAAGTCTAATTGATATCCAGTTTATTTAAAATAAGTTAACGAACAGAAATAGAATCCAAATGTACAATGAAATGTCCTTAAAAGCTTTTGTTGCTTGTTGCTCAATGTTACATCTGGTCAGGTGCTGGTCTGCAAGAAAAAATCTGTGATTTTTCACTCTCATAATATCTTAATAAATTCATCCCCAGAAAATGCAGTTTCTGTTTTTTCTTTGTCAGGCTATGATGCATCAGGAGACTTGTTGAAACCTACGGTGACGGTTCACAGTCAGACGCCGGTCATGCACCATCATACAGGCAGTAAACTGTTGGCCAATGACCTGGACTCATCTCTGGCCAACCTCGTAGGCAGTGAGTCTCTTTATTTTGTCTTCTTTATTTACCCGGTCACCAGTCCCTGACCTTCAAATTGCATTTGTGCTACTCTACTGAACGGAGCATCAGCAGCCATATAGTGCGAGACGCCAAGTGTATGTATGTGTGTGGGTGTTGGACGGAGATGAATTAAAGCCAGCTTTGGAGAATTGAATACCTCTCTAATGCCTCCAGTGCTGTAATGCTGATGTAAGGCCATGCTAACAGTGGGTTTTGGTTCTCTCTTTTTAGATCTGCAGTTTGGGGGAACACCAGGCAAAAAGTGAGGGTTTCTGTTTAATTGGCTGAATAATTTCTGCTTGAGAAACGAGGCAGTGTTTGACTATCTTTGCCTGCAGGTCTGATATGCAGTGGACTCAGCCTGGAGAGAAGAAGTTGACTGGTGGCACTAACTGGCAGTCAAAGACAATGAGCAGCACCACTGCCTGGAGCCCCGCCCCCCTGCCACCTGCTGCTATGCCACCTGCCGCCATGCCCGTGCCACACATGGTAAGTGAGCGCACACACACACACACACACATACAAAAATGGAAATGCACACTTATACAAGCATTTAACTATGATTAATTTACCTTTTTAAAGTTTGCAGTTGGTAAGATTTTTAAAAACATTTAACAAAAACTGCATTTAGTAGATCAAAATGTAGAAAAAAGTTAGATTGAATCTGCTTTTAAACAAACAGAGGGAGATAAATGTAGCAATTTATTGATTTATTTTGATTAAAATATAAAGACATGTGTTTTTTTGTCTTGTAAAGGAATCATTTTGCACAAATTATTTGAGTAAATGGTTTATTGAATGTAGCATGACAAACACAAAACATTTATACAGAAATGCATAATTATACACGCATTTATCTACAGTATGATTACATGACCTTTCAAAAGTTTGTAGTTGGTAAGATTTTTCAGAATATTTTACAAACATTTAGTGGATCAAAATGTAGAAAAAAGTAATACTGCTGAGTAATAATAAAATTTAAAGTATCAGTTTTCAGTTATTTTATTTTGATGATGACTTTTGATTGCAGTATTCATCGTCACATAATCCTTTTAGAAATCGCTGTGATATGCTGATTTGGTGCTTCAGAAACAATGTAACACTTTTGTTACAGAATTCTTTAAAAGATCTGCATTTGAAGTAGACATCTTTTGTGAGGGAGGAAAGCTTATGCAGAGTTTAAACTGCATTATTTTAGCCCCGATTTTGACTTGCCGACCGGTTTTGAGAAATCGTTGAAAAATGCCTGAAATCATAAGCTAATCGGTGCTCGTTTACGTGAGTAACAATCACAGTGTGAACTATCGAATCGGCCATCTGAGAGAATCGCATATGAGTTGCTGTCACCCATCAGATATTTGGCATGCTAAATATCTAGTCCTGACGGTGAGGCCGTGTGAAATATGTTCTGATTAAATATAACATCAGCAATCACCTACAGCCAATGAGAGAGCAACATCCATGATTATGGGTATCTGCAGGCCAGTGGGAGGTTGGTGGAAAAGTTAAAAGGGCTTCTTTTTCAGTCTAAGATGTGTCATCAGAGCAATATCACAACCGAGTCAGAACAGAAAAAAAGTTTAAGAGAAATTCCCTTAAAAGCCAGTTGAGCAAGAAAAGCAAAAATTTTTACCCCACTAAAGGCTCCTTTTTTTTATGTAGTTAATAATAAAAGATACCACGTGGCCTTGCGTTGTTTCCATGTCAGTTCTCGCATGCGTTTGGTAGTTCTCCTATTTCTCCTATTGTAATGTCATGCAGTGTGAAACCCCCTGTCGCTGATCCATCCCACAGTGTAAACACATTACCGACAGAACGCTACCCTAGATAGTCATGCAGTGTGAAAACATCTGTGATATGACTACTTTGAAAATCGTGCTGTCTGAACTTGGCGTTACTGTCACCTATGATAAAAAATATGTGCTTCCTTGCTATTGGAACTATTAATTAAAAACAATAAAAAATTCTACTGACTTGTATTTGTCAATATTGCAACAGAAACCAAACTATTCAACATTAGTGTTGAGTCTTATTTTTATTGTTATCCAACAATAATTTTTATCTGGAGAGACTTTAAATGAAATATTTTTCGATGTGAATTCTTTTAAAAATGTAAAAAAAAATTTTTTTATCAAAAGTAAACCTTAAAAACTATTTTTGGGTGCTTTCACACCTGTGAATCGATCCAGTTGTTCCGAAACAGAGATTACAATTGCTACATTGTTGCTCTTTGCTCTTGGAGCGGTTCGCTTTCACACTGCCAACTTTCTAATCGGACCAAAAGAGCTATAACAAGTCAGGTGCGAGTAAACTCTCCTTACATTGGTCAGAGTGTCAGGGTTTATTTTTCAGCGTCCCGCTAAGCTGTCAGGAGAGGTGGTGGTTTGGTGGTGATTGACAGGGTGCACGCGCGCGACGTGTTTGAGGAGAGACGCGGTGGGGAGGGGTGAGAAGGGTGCGCGACGATGCCTATTTGAGGACCGGGAGGAAGACGCGAGATTACCGGGAGATCATCACTCGTTTGCGGGCATCCGGAGACTCGCGAAACTTCCCGCCCTACTCATAATTGTCTCTTCATATAGCCGTAAGCCTATTACATATCCATAAAACACTGTGATATAACCGCGCTCGGATTGGATCGCATTCTCACTGCAATCGAACCGCTCCAGGGTTCGTTTCAATCGAGCCGAGACCACCTCATTCAATCGATCTCGGAGCAATTACTTTGGCGCAGAACAGAGCGCGATTGCCCTGTTCACATATGCCAATTGAACCGCGCTAACTGGGCAAACGAGACACGTTCCGAAACAAAAGTGTAGGTGTGAAAGCACCCTTAGATCTTCATTATTATTTATGTATTTAACCATGTGTATTAATTATTGCTGTTGATGACTTTTAATTGTTAGATTTTTATAATTATAGAAAATTGATCTTTATAAGATGTGGTAAACTTGATCATTTTTGTCATGACATAACCAGAGAAGCTGATATGGCAATAAACACAAAATTATCTCTCCCTAACTTGTATTTCTTTAAGGGAGTGCATGTCCAGACATGTCTTTGATACACCTTACAAATTACAGTTAGACAAAATGGGTCCTTATCAGTCATTTGCTTAATTCTGCCGTCAAATTGCTTTATATAAAGACACTTACTGTAAACTTGAGCAGCAAATGGCTTCCTTACTGTTTTTGTCTTTTTTATTAATATTATTATCTTGCTTTAGTCTTTTCACATAACACAATTTCCACTCAATATGTCATGTCCATTTATTTATTAGTGCAATATAGGGGTGTGCAATATTGAGTGTCTATGCTAATGTCATAATTGTTTTAACAATAAGCAAGCTGACGTTTTTCTCACTCGCATAGAAAACATGAAATGCATTTTGTAAGCCTAATGCATTCACTGCATCACGAAACCTTTTGGAAAGCAAGTGAAAGGATCGCAAGTTAACGCAAAAAAAAACATTTCCCTTGGTTTCTGTTTTGTATACTTATATGATATCATTTTTATAAGTTGTATAATTTTAAACAAGCATGATGATTTACCTAACATGAGCATATTTGTAAATGTAAAGTTTATTCAACAATTAATTATTGATTCAATTTTAAAGACATTTGTCCTTCAAATGAGATGTTAAACAAAGGTCCTGACTATTTGTGGTCATTAAAAGTCCCCTAGCACTTTTCGTAAAGAGTAGGGGTGTATCCCCGGTATCCTGGCCAAATGCCCTCCATCGGCCCTTAACCATCATGGCCTCTCAATCATCCTCATCCACCGAATTGGCTATATCACTGTCTCTCTACTCCACCTATAGCTGGTGTGTGGTGACCGTTGTCCTGTGACTGCCGTCACATCATGCAAGTGGATGCTGAACACTGGTGGTGGTGTGGAGAGACATGATTGTGAAGTGCTTTGGTGTATGGCCATACATGATAAATGCACTGTAGAAATACACATTATATTACATTTTAGGTAATGCTGTTCAGTTACATTTTAGACTCAATGTTTACTATTTCTTTTCTGTTAAATCAATAATAGTTATTTGTGAACGGGAAGAGAACATACATAGCATATTCGAGCAACACTGCAATGTTTTGTTACTAAATGAATCTGCTTTAAAACAAATAGAGTGAGATAAGTGTAACAATTTGATTGTTCATTTCATCAAGAGTTGTTTTGTTTCCAATAAAAAAATATCAGTCATTTTGCGCAAATCATTTGAATGAATGAATGATTCAATAAATGTACCAATGAAAATACAGCATATTTAATTTTTCATATCAATCAAACATTTGCAGTAAGAATTGAGATATTGTTTAATAACAAACACCTCAATGTCTGCTTGTTAAGTGTGACATCACGCGAAGCGGCTTCCGAGTCCAAGCACTTTATCAAACTGCATTGGGAGACTCAACAAATGGTATCAATAAACCTTTACAAATCGATCAAAAATTACTATCACAATATATATATCCATGCCTAATTTCCAATGACCAGAAAGTGAATACATTTTAAAATTTTAAAAAAATATTGGTGTCTGTGATGCAGCATGTCCAGAGACTGTAATGTAGACCATTTTTTATATATATATATATATATATATAAAATTCACTGTAATGTGTGATGGGACTAAAAAGTAGTCATAAATGAACATTTTCTCAATTTAAATGAGTAGTGGCTTGGACCCGTAAACAGTATTCCATTTGTCACGACTTAACAAGCGGACACATCCCTAGTACTATAGTACTGCGCTAAGCCACCTGAAAAGGGTGTTCACTTAGTTATCTTGATTACTCCATTACCAAATGACTGAACATTAAAACATTACATGCTAAAAACTGAGCTTCTTGTGTCTATATAAGCAGTTTCATTCACACACAAACATAATTTCAGACGCTTTTAAACCTATAAACGCAGAGAAAATAATCGATAGCAAAGTACTGTTTGCATTTAACTCACAATTCAGTATCCAGGCTTCATACATTTTAACAAGATAAAAACATGTTTGAGTTCCTTTTTGCTGTTCTAGCTTCAGTAAATATGAATGTGAGTTTGTTTACTTCCTGTTTTCTCTCTGTGTGTGCGCATGTATTGATCCGGTCAGAAAGGTGAGGTGTGAGTGTGTTCGGAGACAGGAAGGAGATGAGCCGATTTCACTGTTTTTACATGTTTATAGCCTGTCTTTTCTCTCACTCGGAGTCGAGAAAGAGAGCAGATGTCTGTGAATGACTAACCTTCTATGTCTCTTTCTCTCTGTCTGTCTCTCTCCACCTTTTCTGTGGTCTACATCGCTTTGGCCTGTAACGCCTTCACTTTTTCTCACTCTGTCTGCTCTGTATGTTTCTGTCTCTCTCTCTATCTGCTTTCTTGTGCTTAACCCAGCAGACTGGAATGTTCTATACTAGTTATGTAAGTACCTCCTATATAACTGACAGTTCTGTTCTCTTGAGTATCATTTGAGAGGGATCGATTCTCTCTTATTCCCCCTCACATTTCATTCTCTTTCACAATCTCCTTCTCCACTGCTTATTTCTTGATTTCTACCTTCAACTATTTGCTTCAGTGAGTTACAGTGTCGATAAAATGAATTATGGATGAAAATGTTTAGTTGATTTTACTAAAGTTTATAGTTTGTTTGTTTATATATCATGTAAATGTAATTCTGTTATATCATAACACCCAAACACACACACACAGACATCAAACTAAATAAGAAAAGTTAATAGAAATAAATCTATTTTGTCAACTAAATATTTTTCTTTTAATTACAACATTAATATAATACAAAAAAGCATACATGACTTACCACAGTACCTCAAAACCTGTTTTTAACTATCAGTGCATGCTTCGGTTTTAATAATAGTTATAGACAACCGCAGAGCTGTTCGTATACATGGTGCTTGGTCAGTTTGGGTTATATTTATGCATTTACACAATGCAAATGTGTATTTTATCACTTTTGTTTTTGCTTGAACTTGTTTACTACAGTGACTTTTTATGCTTGGGGTGCTCCTGAGACTAATTAAAAACAATAGTTTGATGTCTGAACGCTCCGTTCCGGCAGTGTGGCCCAAAAGCAATTTTCACACACTGTGTAAAAGGGATGAAAACTCATACTCTGACTTCAAACACCTCCTGATAAATGGAGAAAATGTCATATGTTGATTTTGCCTTTGACATCTAGATGTTTGTTCGGTCTGTCATGCCCTTTCTGTAGCATTTGATGATTTCATCTTTTGCAGCTTTGACTTGCAAACCAGGCATGTGCAAACGTGTGTGTTTGGGGGCTGCGTTTTACGTAACCTGCTTACGATTCAAAAACGATAAATACACATGCTTGTCAGCAAGAAAAAAATCAATGCTTTTTCAGGCTTTTTAACGGAAGTCTGACTTTGAGGCAGAATGTATTGGATAGAAAATAAAGTCAATGGGTAAAATTGTTTCATATACAGTTGAATTCTGAATTATTAGCCCCCCTGTTTGTTTATTTTTTTTCCTAATTTCTTTTTAACGAAGAGAAGATATTTTCAACACATTTCTAAATGTAATAGTTTTTAATTGCTCCTTTCTAATAACTGGTTGGCAGTACATAATATAATACTAGATATTTTTCAAGACACTTCTATACAACTTAAAGTGACATGTAAAGGCTTAACTACAGTAGGTTAACTAGGCAGGTTAGGGTAATTAGGCAAATCATTAAATAACAATGGTTTGTTCTCTAGACTATCGAAAAAAATATATAGCTTAAAGGGGCTAATAATATTTACCTTAAAATGTTTTAAAAATAAAAACTGCTTTCATAAAGCCGAAATAAAACAACTAAGACTTTCTCCAGACTAAATTTTTTTTCAGATATACTGTAAAAATTACTTTGCTCTGTTATGCTGCGGTCACACCAGACGCGGCATGGCGTCAAGCGCGAGTGATTTACATGTTAAGTCAATGCAAACGCGCGAATAGACATCCTGCGGTGCGATACACGCGAATGGCACGGCGCGAATGGCGCGGGGCGAATTGAGCGTTTTACGCGTTTGACACGCTTGACCAGCGTTTCGCGCGGATCTCTCGATTTTGAAAATCTGAACTTCAGCGTACATTCGCGCCGCGTTAATCAATCAGAAGCTTGCTCTTTTGTGGGGCGTGATTGTGACGTACAACCTGTTGTCGGTGTTCCGAGGGAAATCCTCCAGCCTTCACCGACAACAGTTCATCAAACTCGGCTTGGCTCAGTCAGAAGCACCGCTGAAAGCCTCCGTCATCCAGGTTCAGTTTCTGGAGGAGCTTATGAGCTCACAGAGCTGGATGCACCTCTGAAAGGATGTAGTGGACTCAGACACGGCCCTAAACGTATCGACGCTGTTTTTCAGTCTTCATAAAGCACATAAACACTGTTATTTTCTTCATAAAATCCATGTTAGCCATTTATGCTATGAAGCTAGAGTCTTGACGCGCGTATGAAGCGAGTAAACTCAAATGTTCACGCGGCTATTTACGTGCGATTTATCCGCGCATTCCGCGTCTGGTGTGAACACAGCATCAAGCATCATTAACATTCTGCTAAATGTTTCTCATTACTTTCAGTGTTAAGACCAGGGATATCTTAATATATTTATGGATAAATGCCATTTTCAGCATAGTCTGAATTAAGCGTAATATACTTTTATTCTAAATAAAAATGTTATTTTCTAAAGAAGATGAAAGAAATGTCCTGAATGTATTGCAATTCCTGGTTATGCAATTGATGGATCTCTCAGTATAAGTTTCTTCTGAGATGTATTACATGTATATATGTTTTATTATTTTGTCTATTTTTATATTAAATTAGAGTAAAAGGGTAACTTTACTTCATAAGTATGACGACAAAATGATAAAATGTGTGTTTTTGATCACATGGTACTACACTGAAAATAGTGGCATCATCAGAAATATGAAATATAGCTCTTGTTGATTTAAAATTTTAACTATCCTTAATAAACCTTAAATCCTCCATTTGTTAATACAATAAAAAACAAAGGTCATTCACAGCACTTTGAATGTAAGGCTCAAGACCTCACTAGCTCTGTTTCCATTCAAAAATGTGAATTAAATTTATGTGGAAAACAAGAATATCGCATAATAGATGTGCGAACACACGATTCCATTCAATGAGTCAAAGATAACAAAATTGTAATTTTCTGAATAACTGGCACCAAATATCAACAGTAAAAATGAAATTTACTGAGGTAGGAAAAGCTGCGCGAATCTTTTCTTTATTTAATAAATGACTTGCTCCTCAGAAGACGATGCCAACATGTAATGAACACGCATTTGAAGCCATGAAACAATAACACTAATACTCTAATGATTAAGGCATTTTAGAATGACCAAAACAATGTTTCAGATGTTCTACAGTATGCTCAGCGTGCTATTTTATCTATTCACACATTTTTATCATCACATAGTCTCTTATAACAAAATCACATGACCTTTTTTAATGCGCATACTGGAATTTTAGTAAAAGTGTTTCCATCAAAGTTTGGTATCATAATTTAAACATTTATCCTACTCAGTTATGCGCAGATGTTTTGTTTTTGCACATTTTCAAAATTTATGTGCATCTTGGTGTTTCCATCAATCTTTTTTTTTATATGCATGTCCAAAATGCGTGTAAAGATGTGGATGAAAACATAGCTATTGTGCCTACAACTCATTTGGAGTTTAATGATAGTTTATTTTAACTTTGATATTGCATAGAATGTACAAACCCAACTGCATGAAGAAATAAAAAAAAAGGATTTGATACCATCCTTTTGCAATTGACTCTTAAAATCCACCAGCTAGGAAGTGAGGAATTGGAATGTTAGTGTATAGATGACAGTGAGCCTGTGATGCAATGTAATTTTATTTGCTCTAGGCAAGTTTTGTTTTACGCATTATGCAGTTTGCTGTTTAGAAACCGGAACATCAATTATCAGTTATTTATATATTTTCTTGCTCTAGTGTTGTGCAGTGTTGCATATACTGAGTGGACCAACCCACACATCTGTGCAGGCGAATTTACGTCCACCTGCCCTATAATTGTTGGAAATGAGTGTAATTAAAGATGATCTTTAAATGAAGCAAACATGATTAGTGAACCCAGTGGTGTTGAATTAGTACAGGAGTGTTTGATCAGAGTCTCATTGTTCACTTGATCAGTGCAGGGTTGTTTGATCAGTCAGCGTGACGAGGGTTGATTTTGTTGTGTGTTTTTTTTTTTTCTTTGCAGGCTCCTGCTCCCATGGCGTTTCCCATGACAACACCTCAAGTGCCTGTGTATGGAATGGTGAGCTTACAGTCACTACATGAATGTTGTGTACTCGAATTGCATAGTCAATAGCACCTCATAAAAAGACTGACTGTGGTTTTTCCAACGGGTTTAGGTTCCTCCTCAGCTGGGACAGATGGGAGGGGTTCCAGTCATGACCCAACAACCCATGTTGTACAACCAGCCTGTTCTCAGACCCACTAACCCTTTCACACCCATCCCTGGAGCCCAGGTACTCATACAAACACACACCACCTGTGTCACACTCAAATACACTATGCTACATTATTTAATCTATTACTTAACAGTCTGAAAACGATGTAATATTTTAATTAAATGTGTTGCTGTCATGTTCCACATAAAAACATACTATAGTAATTTATAGTAAATAATATATATTTTTACCAGGCTTTTGTAAAGTTATATTATAGTATTTATGACACAGTTAATACAATGCTGATGCCTTCATTAACAGTAAACTGATAAACTGTAATAAGTAGTGTAGTATACTTTAGTTTTTACTACAATAGTAAAATATACCCTATAGTTGTAGAAAACTACATAGCAACCATTTTACCATAGAAACTGTAAAATTACTACAACAGATTAATTCAAGGATTTTATTATAGTATTGTTCAATAACACTATTGTATTTACTTTAAATTACTATAATATTTTTTCGTTTGGGTTCCCTAAGTAGTTAATGTATGTAACATATTTAATTATGTTAATAATGCCAGTGTATTTTTGTTTGTTTTTTATGCAAATGAAGACCCTAAAATGAACTTTCAGTCAAAGAGTTTATGTAAAATGTAATGTCCTGTATATGTTCATTAGTAGATTTACTCTTTATACCCTGCAATGTTTAAAAAGACAATTTTATTTTATTTTTAAAAATCTGATTAAAGTACTGCCTTTAATGTTTTCCAATTTTTTCGTAAGCTCAGTGTGAAAGAAAAAAAAATAGTAAGTTGTTTCTCTTTCATAAAAGCAAACATGTTAAAGGTGTTGTATGTAAGTTTGACACCCAGTGGTTGAGCTAGGTATTGCACTACTGAATCAAAACTTTCACTCGGCTCCTCCTCTGATGGCTCCACGGCCAAAGCAAGCGCATGTTACCAGATTGATGTGAATGTGCTTGACTATCGAGCCTAAAGACTTATTTAAGGCTGAATTAAAACGTTTTCTAGCTAAAAGCAACGGTGCACGATAGAATAAATATTTTCCATACTGAAGTCCTAACCAACTCCTGAAATTTCTATTTTAGAAACAGCGTCTATTTCTCACAGGTGAACAACGATCACCTCAGATACATCTCATGTGCTTTTTCAGTGTTAAATGCTAATAATGCAAGTTTGAATGCAATTTTGCTATTATCGCCATACTACTGAAAGCAGCAGCAGATAGTTCAGTTCAGATCTTGAAAACAAAATAAACCATTTGAAATTGAACTTCAGAACCATCACTCAGTACAAAACAACATGTGAATGATTCAGCATCTACATTTAATACTGTTAAAGAGGTTTTATATTTATTAATTGGATTTTAAACCTTACCATTTCACTGGAGTGCAGTGAGTGCACTATTATGTGCTTCTGAATGGCTGTATTTAATTTTCTGTCGTTTCATCTGGTGCAAACAGCAAAATTACTTATTACTGCAAATCTCATCACGTAGCATATTGTTAGGACATGGGGTTACAATGTAACCTGCTCACCTAATGTTTATGTTCGTAATATTTATAATGTTTGCTAATTAAAAACCTCCTTATATGAAACTCTGAATCAGCATCTCGTTTTGGGGCAGTAACTGTCTACCGGAGGTCGCATTTTCAGTCACAGATGCACACTCCGAGAGCCTTCTTGACTGAATAATTGAAATGTGCAGAATATCTGGCTTTAGCATTGTTTTTTTAGATAAGCAAGAAGGTTCATCTGTCTTAAATATCTGCAAACATATTATGGTATTTTGTATGGTTTAGAATAGTCAAAACTGTACATACTGCACCTTGTAATAGCATATTCTTTGTTGCTATGGTATCGAGAGTTATCAAATTTGACTGGTATTGCATTTAACTACTGAAATTAGTATTGTGCCAACCTCATCACACACGCATACAAAACAGCTCTTTGCCTGTGGCCAATACACAGACGCTCCATTTTACAGACATTCAACACTGTTGCATTCACACAGTCATTACTGAGACATTTTGTGCCATTTACTTTATTCGTAACCCTTTGTGTGTCTTTTACAGATGCAGTTCATGTAAGTAGCAGTTCAAGCAGAGCGCCAAACAAGATGGCTGAAAAGAACACTGAGCGAGTGAGAGGAGGATCCCAGTACCACCAAATAAAAGCAGGGCGAGACAAAAAGAAAGAGCAATGTGTTTGTGTCAAGAATGCTTACCTCACTGTCTGAAACGGCTCGCCCAACACACACACACACACACACACACACACACACACACACACACACACACACACGCACAGATCCCGCATGAGCGTGTACACACTGTTTCATTTCTCATCTCTCGAGGTTCATTTCTTTCCCGGGGCACTGTGTCTACTGACAGGTGTGATACATCATGGAAATCCTAGATTCTATTGCTGGTATTAAACTACCGGCTCAATTTTTTTTTTAAATTCGCAATTAATATGAATTAGATTTAAAGGCCAGCACAGTGGACTTCCTGTTACTTTCATCGTTTGCTCTGTTATGAAAATACATGAGCTGAGTACAGGAAAATGGTCACTGTTGCCCAAGAAAAAGCAGGTTGCCACATCATAAACGCATTTAAATGGCTCATTAACGCAATGCCCCGGCTTCTCATTTCAGAACCAGGAAAGAAGCAGACCTCTTACATAAGGTGTTCTGCACCACCCAAGCACTTTACACATGCATTTATGTGTAACACAATATAGAACTTTGAGCTGGTCTCTCATATCTAGCAAATTAGTAGTCTGATGCTAACAATTAACGTCTTGCCGTTACTGGTGGCTTCCATTCATGGTCAGTCAGTCAGTCTTTGTTTATGCAGGTTTAGGTGTTGCCGTTTCAGACATGCTGGTGACCTTGCACATGCACCCAAACTTGAGTTCTGCAAGCCACATGAAGAGCCCCCTCTCACTGGCCCCTACCTTGTTTTGTCTCTCCCAGGACACGAATAAACATATCTGCTCCCGCTCTTCTGTGTGTTAACCAAACATGTCATGTATACACGACTACATCTCACACTCCCAGCCTGGGTGCCAGTGACCGGAAGCATTGCAGAAGGGTACAGGGCGTTTGACCCTACTTAAAAATCTGTGTTTCTGATGGGGGTTTTGTTCAATCCTATGTTTTTTAAAAAATCTTTTTATTTCTAGAAAGCATGTTATATATATATAAATATATTTTTATTATTATTATTATTTCAGAGAATGACATGAATCATGGTCTGTTTTATGCTGCCAAATTATGTACTTTTTGTGATTTGCAAAGACGCCATAAGCTAGCTCTCGTACCCAGCGCCTGACATCATAGTTCTTTCGCTCTGAAGGACGTGCGTATTGGTGTTTGCCAACCTCGGAACCAAAATCAATAGCTAAAATCTACTTTTGGTCTGTTTTTCGTGCAGTTCCTCGGATTGTGAGGCACTGTTAACAGGGTATCTTTGTTTTCGCTTGTGCAGCCAAAGCATTATCAGTCCTCCTGAAATCCCTTTAACCCTTTCTAGAACAGGTTTAAAATCCAGCCTTCACATCATCCCATAATTCCTGCTTTGTTTCCTGAAACTGTGTTAAGTGATGGCATTAGTGGAGTAGTTATACAGTGTGGTTATGCCTCATCCTAGAGGGGGTGTTAGAATCACTGCTGTTCCTAATAATGGAATGCTTACCATTTGTTAAATTACAGTACACCTTGATTTCATCAGGTTGATTACTGCACGTAGTTGCCAAGGTTTTATAAAACAAATGCATAGCAGTAAACATTAAATAATTTATTAATAACAAATGGTCCTTTTTGCCAAGCAGTGTGATAGCTGTATTTAGCAAAATGGTTGCCAAGCAACAGAGACACAGCAGTGCTGTAATAAGCTCACAGGTGTTGTCTTAGCCAATCACAGTCAAGAGATGGAACCAAAAGTTTGAAGATCTTTTTTGACACCTTAAAAAATTATCTCCAGCTTTACAACTCTAAGCAGTTATGACAAAGTGTTTTGTACATTGTCATAATGTGTTTAAAGATGTTAGACACTTTTGCAAATTATTCCCATTGGACTTGGTCCACTTAAAGCAGGGGTGCCCAAACTCTGTCCTGGTGGGGTGGTGTTCTGCATAGTTTTGATCCAGCCCCAATCAGACACACCTGAGCTAGCTAATCAAGCTCTTAGTAAGTTTGCTTAAAAATGTCCTGGCTGGTGTGTTGAGACTAAACACTGCAGGACTCTGGCCCTCCAGGAACAAATTCAAGCACCCCTGACTTAAAGGGACTGTTAAAAAAAATCACTATTTAATCATCCTGAAGTGGTTGCAAAACTTTGAATTTCTATCTTCTGTTGATCACTGGACTTAATTTACTGAATGTTCGTTTAACAGAGGCCAGTTAGCGAAGTATAATGCAGGCAGACAGATGCTATGGCCATGGTCTTTAGGTTCCTTGTTAGAGCAACAGACTCCTATACAAAGAATCGCTGGTTCTATCCCATCTCATACAAGGTTGCGTGTAGTAGGACTAGTGGGTAACATGGGGGCTCATCCTGGATGGTAGTGAGATTTAAGGGGTGAGTGTAACTGAGGCCAGCTAGCGAAGAGCTATGCAGGTAAACCTCACCCCTCTGACCTCTAAAGTTGCTCTAGTAACAGACAATATGGCCATGGTCTGTAGCCTGTTTGTTAGAGCAACTGACTCCCATACAAAGAATCACTGGTCCGATCCCAGCTCAGACCCGGTTGGATGTGGTAGGACTGGTGGATAACATGGGGGCTTGTCCGGAATGGGGGTGAGGTTTAGGGGGTGAGGCCAGCTATTGAAGTGCTATGCAGGTAAACCTCACTCTGACCTCTAAAGGTGCTCTAATAATCAACAGTACATGTGAAATTCAAATATGGACTTTGTCCTCTACTGTATGTAATGTGCATATATTGTCATATATCAAATTTCAATATGGAAACCAGTAGAAGTTCACACAGTTGATTTGCACCTGTACTGTGCTGCAAGTCTGACCGTCCATTGCTTCAGGTGTGGTCTCTGCTCCTGTGTTTTGCTAAAGACATCAGCAAAACAAGTTTGCTATAATTTGTGCTGTGTGACTCCCTGCCCTTCCTTTGGTAGTAACAATGGGTATCACGTTTCTCCGCTTGCTTGTTTCTGTGTGCCAGCGTTGGTTACTAATTCCTTATTGAGCGACTTTTAACAAGCTTGTAAGTTTATTCTCCTTTGAGCACCGCCAGGGCTACAGCGGGTTCAGACTGAATGCTTTTTATATGCAGGCTCAGTGTTGATGCACCCGCTGGGTTTGCAAGGTAACAGGGCACCGAGGAGCGATGCTGTTTAATTAGGATCTATTCTATTATCCTGTAACCAGAGGCTTGAGTTGTGAATGTACGTGAGCGAGAGAGTGAATGTATGATCTTGAGCTCCAGGGAGGGTGAAGGATCTCGAGATGTGCCATCGTGAGCCGGGGTTTCCATAGTAATGTCCTGTTTCTGGTCCTTGGCACAGGTTGCTGAGCACATCTTTCCCACATTTACTTTCTCTTGGTCTTATTTGTTTAATGTAATTAAAGCTCTGCATGCGTTAGACTGTGTGAGTTTCTTTGGCGCCTGTGAGAGCAGTGCTTTTGGATTACCTGTAGGTTTTTGTTGACTTGTTTTATTGGCATCGCTTTTTCACACCAAAGGCTTTTTGTTTTACATGCTTTTGCTGAGTTGAGGTGTATAAAAAAACAAACTTGAATTTTTTTATTTACAGTAGGAGACGTTCTTGCGTCCACAGCTCCCCCTTGTGGTTACTGTGTGGCATTTAAACAGATGGTGACCCGAGTGTTTTGTTTGGTGTTTATGGGGCAGTTGTGCACACAAAGCAAATGTCTTGAGTGTATTGGACTCGCCGCTCTACATTCATCCTTTACTTTAGCACTCGGCCAAACTGACGAGCTGCCAGCTCCAGTGAACTTCTGGAGAACTTAGCCTGATTTTATTCGGCTCGGCTCATTAGCTGGCTGGGAAAACTGGGTTCAGCCTTTCAGAGTTGATGTGTCAGCATGAGTATCAGACCTCTAGTGGGGAGGCTTGGTGTTCAGGGCCCCTTTCGCCTTCATGTTGGAGCTAAAGGCTTTTTTAGATGGGCTATTTGTCTGCTGCTTTCTTATTAGCATCTTTTCTTTTCTTTCCTTTTACAGAGATATATGCAGTATATGTAGAACTGTGTGTGTGTGTGTGTGTGTGTGTGTGTGTGTGTGTGTGTGTGTGTGTGTGTGTGTGTGTATATATATATATATATATATATATATATATGTATGTGTGTGTGTGTGTGTATATATATGTATATATTTACATTTGAAGTCAGAATTATTAGCCCCCTTAATTTTTTTTTCTTCTTTTTAAAATATTTTTCAGTTGATGTTTTACAGGGCAAGGAATTTTTTACAGTATATCTGCTAATATGTTTTTTTCTCGAAAAAGTCTTATTCGTTTTATTTCGGCTAGAATAAAAGCAGTTTTTAATTTTTTTAAACACCGTTTTAGGGACAAAATTATTAGCCCCTTTAAGCTAAAGATTTTTTCGATAGTCTACAGAAGAAACCACTGTTATACAATAACTTGCCTAATTAACCTACCATCCCTAGGTACCATAATTAACCTAGTTAAGCCTTTAAATGTCACTTTAAGCTGTATAGAAGTGTCTTGAAAAATATCTATTAAATATTGTTTACTGTCATCATGGCAAAGATAAAATATATCGGTTATTAGAAATGAGTTACTAAAACTATTATGCTTAGAAATGAGTTGAAAAAAAACATTTCTCTGTTAAACAGAAATTAGGGGAAAAATAAACAGAGGGGCTAATAATTCTGACTTCAACTGTGTGTGGGTGGGTGTGTGTCTGTGTGTGGGTGGTACAAGTCCCATCAACCCTGTGCATCAGCCCAGGGAAACAATGCAGTAATTTTAACCATGTATTATCAAATGCCAAAAAAGGAAAATGCAAAATCTATTAGTTTATGCTGAAGAATGTTTTGCAAGTTATTTATGCAGACCATAAGGAGTTATTCAGTGAAAATAAAAAGCAGAAATTGTGGGATTATTGTGTTTATCCTTTGGTTGTCTTCCATTTTTTTGTTTGCTTTGCATTGATACCATAAATAAAGTCCATTTTCATTCCTGATTTGTTGGTTATTTTTATTTTTTGCTTTATTTTCTTTTTATTTGCCTACCGTGTTATCCATCCAATCAGATTGAAGCCCCAAGCAGAATGTTTGAATTCATTTTTTTTTGGATGACCTGATGTCCGGTTCTTTTGTTTCTCTTCTCTGGCCTCTTGAAATTGCACTTCATGCCTGCCTCACGGCCCATAATGCAGGGTTTTTTCTGAACGCACGTTTTAAATACCTGGTCAAATTTGTGTAGTGCCGTGTTGTGTTGTTTTCATGTTTGTCAGTGTGATTTCTGTTGAAATCTATTGCACGAGTTTCACTGCAGCAGGAACCACCTCATTATTTCTTTGTAGCACTTTTCAACAGTGGACTCAGAAACCGCAAAATCAGCCAATGTTTCTTTGTGTATATTGTTTTTACAGTTGAACGAATGTGGAGCTGGTCATGATGTTTGGAAAGGTTGTACAGCAATGCCTTCCATTTTTTGGTACTTTTCCCCAAGTTTGCAACAAGTTTTTTGGCTGTTGAGTCCATCTACTTGATAAAATCTGTAGTTATTACGGCCCTGATTTTATCTTGTATGCATTTTCACAATTCAAGAAGCATTTACTCTTGCTTTTATAATCTGGTTAGCACTCACAATATAAACTTTAAAGGCAGTTTATGCTTATTTATTTATACTCATTTATAATTATTTTATTTAACTAAATGGTTGCATTAACCTATCATAAAACTTTTGGATCGAATGTGGTATTTGCACACAGACTTTTATTTCAGTCTGACAGCCCCAGGGCTTCTTCAGAATTGTCATCCCTTACACAATTGCT